TCCAGAGGAAGCACCCGACATACCTCCGGAGCCCCCGTGTGTGCCAGCAGAACCTCAGGCAGAAGCTGTTAGCGCGCCAGAGAACAACTATTTGGAAACCAACACCGCCGCCCCGGCAAACACAGAGGAGGCGGTGACGTGGCCCGATCCGTTCACCAACAACGAGGATGATTTGGACCTCGGCCCCTTCTCGCTGCCGGAGCTGCCGCTGCAGCCTAAGGACGTGGCGGAGACGGAGATGGCCGAGGCGGAACCAGTGGAAGAAACCCCGGTGACAGCTTCAGAAACCAGTACCAGTGTCATCAAAACCAGTGCGCCTGCGGTAGCTGCTGGGGACGCGGAGGAGCCCCCGGGCAGCCAGGCAGCCGCTGCCCTGCCGCTGGAAGCAGAGCCGCAGGCGGAGGAGCAGAAATCGGACGCGGCGGCGCAGGAGGCCACCTCGGAAGCAGTGAGCGGAGCCGAGGAAAAAGGTGGGGAGGACGCGGAAGCGCAGCCTCTCCAGCCGACCTCGTCGGAGTCTGCTCAGGCTGAAAGCAAGGAGGTGGAGGCGGTGCAGGAGGAGCTGTCCTCCTCCGGCGGGGCGCCCGACAGCAGCTCCCAGCCCTGTCCCCCACCCGCGGCCAGCGCCGAGGGCAGCGCCGTGCCGGAGAGCGCCGCGGCACGCGCGGGGAGCCAAGTCTCTTCCTCCCAGCCCGACGCGCCTCCGGGGAACGCGCAAGCAGAAATTGTTGAACCGGTACAAAAACCGGTAGCAGAAGCTCCCAAACCGCCCAAAATAGAAGAGATTCCTCAGCGGATTACCAGGAACCGGGCTCAGATGCTCGCCAACCAAAACAAGCAGAACGCCGCGGCTTCTGAGAAGGAATTTCCTCCTGTTTCTGCGCCTGCCACACGTGCCAAAGGCCGCATTACGGAGGAGGACGATTCCCAGACTCAGCACCCGCGCAAACGCAGGTTCCAGCGCTCCAACCAGCAGCTGCAGCAGCAGATCAACACGTCCACCCAGCAGACCCGGGAGATGATACAGCAAACTCTGGCAGCTATCGTAGACGCTATAAAATTGGACGACATCGAACCTTACCACAGCGACAGATCCAACCCCTACTTCGAGTACCTCCAGATCAGGAAAAAGATTGAAGAGAAGCGGAAAATCCTCTGCTACATTACTCCCCAAGCTCCTCAGTGCTACGCTGAGTACGTCACCTACACGGGCTCCTACCTGTTGGATGGCAAGCCTCTCAGCAAGCTCCACATCCCAGTGGTGAGTCGCCTCCCTGCTCCTGCAGCAGGTGGTTTAAAGCACAGCATCGGGGGCTCTGCCCTCCCTTGCTGCCACCAGCACAGCCAGATTGTCCCCTCGTGCACCCAGGGCACATGCTCACGATGGCAAAACCAAGCCTCAAGCCTCGCTAAGTGGATGGCTAAGTGGTAAATGCATCCTCTGAGATGTGTTTCTGCAGAGGAGACCTTAGGCTGTGCTTAGGAACCTGAGGTTTGTTCGGGCTTTAGGGCGAGTTTATACAAATCCACTGGGTTTGAGGCCAGAAGGCAAAATGGCTTTTACAGGCAGCGCAGTAACTGGATAACAAACCTGGGAGACTGCAGGGAAAAGAGAGTTGCCCTTAACTCCTGCCTCCCTTTTACCCAGCCTCGGTGCTGCAGCCACAAATCCGGGCTCTGGCTGGAGGAGGAGGGTCAGGCCCTGCCCTCCTCCCTGCTGCAGCCCCTACAAAATACCCAGGTCTGGCAGGATTCGTGCTGCCCGTTCAGAGCAGCCCGAGCGTGGGTTCCTCTGTGTGAATTCAGCCACAATTTGCCTGCCCCAGCACTGTGCTGGTTGTAGCCCGCGGTCACTTCTGCTCCTGCCGGTGTTTCTCTGGCTGTTCACCCCCTTGCTTGGACGTGCTCTACCCCCTGCCCTTGCTCGTGGCCGTGCCGGGAGCTGCCGTACCCCCAGCTCTAACCCCGTGCTGTCTGCCCGCAGATCGCCCCGCCACCATCGCTCGCGGAGCCCCTGAAGGAGCTCTTCAAGCAGCAGGAAGCCGTCAGGGGGAAGCTGCGGCTCCAGCACAGCATAGAGCGGGTAAGGCAGCGCTCCGAGGAGTCCCTGCTTGGGAACGGCTCCTGAATTTGCTTTGCTGGGGAAACCCAGGCTGCCCCGCTCACTGCTCTGTTTGCTCTCCCCAGGAGAAGCTCATCGTCTCCTGCGAGCAGGAGATTTTGAGGGTTCACTGTCGGGCAGCGAGGACTATCGCGAACCAGGCGGTGCCCTTCAGCGCCTGCACCATGCTGCTGGACTCCGAGGTCTACAACATGCCTCTAGAAAATCAGGTCAGTGATTCTTGGCGGTGAAGGAGCCTCTCAGAGGTGCTGTACACGATCCCGGGGCCGAGGGGCTTTTCCAGATGGAAAAGATAGCTCCCAGCTGCAGGACTCGCTGCCCAAAACCTCCCCAGCACGTGCCCGGCTCAGTTCCTGGGGGCTCGAGCTGCAGGCGGTGGGCGTGCAGGGGAGGGAACACATCAGGAGCACGGTGACACGGGGAGCACGGTGTCTCTGTAGAAGCTGAGATGGCTCACGTTTATCAGGGAGTCTCAGGACACTCTGCCCTTCTTGATCAGGATCATTGCACATTTGAGGGATTTATTTTACTGCAATCTGGGATATCTTTACCCGCCAAATAACAGGGAGAGAGCCATTAAATTAACTTGTATCCGAATACTGGCTTTGGAAGGGCCAGACTGATGCACAGCCCACAGAACACGGGCATTTCTTCTGCTCTCACGTGGTTCTGTGCCAGAGCTGGGTGAGTGCAGCCTGCCCTGTGAGAGCAGAGGGGCTCAGCCACGGCTGTGCCACCCCGCCAGACCCTCTGCAGCCCGGAGCAGTTTTGTTTCGTCAAGCATGTGCCGTAAGAGGGGTCTGAGTATGGCCTATTACACCTTTGACTGCTTAAAGTGAAAAAAAAAATATAAATAAATCTCCATGCAATTCCCTTTTGATGTCTTCTGCTTAGGGAGACGAAAACAAATCGGTCAGAGACCGTTTCAACGCGCGACAGTTCATTTCCTGGTTGCAAGACGTGGATGACAAGTACGATCGGATGAAGGTGAGAGGCGCGGGCGAGATGCTGGGAGCAGGTCCTGCTGCTCGGCGCCCCGGGGAGGCTTTCGGTGACAGCAGCCCCAGCCACGGGGCTGGCAAAACACTCACTTGGCTGGGTGCTGCTTTGGGAAGCTGTGTTTTTTGTGGTTTCCAAAAATCTGCTGGGCGCAGGCATCCCTGGATGGTGTGGGCAGCACAGCTGGTGGGAAGGGCTCTCTCCTCATCTTCAGGGGCAGCGATGGCAAGAATTGAATCCTGTCCTGGGACCTCTGCGAAGCAGTGAGGGCTTCCCAGATGTCCTGAGTCCTGGTTCCCTTTCCGTGAGGCCGTGCGGGGTGTCCCTGGCTCCACGTGCTGTGCTGTTCCCTGTGATCCCTGCGGGTCCCCAGCTTTTGCTGGGTGTGACCAGCAGCGGGAGCTTTTCCTGCCCTGTCCCGCTCACCCCTCACCTCTGCTTGTTTTTATTTTCCCCCATCCAGACGTGCCTGCTCATGCGACAGCAACACGAGGCTGCTGCCTTGAACGCGGTGCAAAGGATGGAGTGGCAGCTGAAGGTGCAGGAGCTGGACCCCGCGGGGCACAAATCCCTCTGCGTGAACGAGGTGCCCTCGTTCTATGTGCCAATGGTCGACGTGAACGATGACTTTGTGCTCTTGCCGGCATGACAGTTCCAAACCAGGAGACATCACTGAAAACTGGCAAGGACGGGAAGCCCTCCGAGGTCGGGCGGTCGAGCTCACATTCACCCTTACCGCTTGCTGATGAATCCCTGGTCAGAGGAGGAGGAAGCAGCTATCGGCAGAAAACAAAACAATAAGAAAAAAAAAAATTGCACTTTCTTCACAGCGCGTCCCTCGCTCCCGGACTGACGGCAGCTCCGCCGGGCAGCGGGCCGGGGCGCATCTCCTTTCCAACCGGCTGCTGCGGCAGGGAGGCAGCCGGTCCGCGCGGGCAGCGAGCACTCACCGGCGACGGGACTGGCAGAGGCGTGGAGGGAGGAGGCCAAGGACACCATTTGTGTGTTGCAGAAGCTGCTGAGCGGGGCCAGCAACCACGTTGATCCATGTACTTGTGAACACAGCGATTTCCAGCTCTCTGTTTTCCACCGCTCTGCGGATCTGCGCGCAGAGAAGCTGCAGTAGGAAACAATGGGGGGAGGGGGGGGCGTTTGAGTTTCTGTTCCATCCTGGGTATGTCTAAAACAAAACAAAAACGAAACAAAACAACAAAAAAAAAAAACAAAATTAGAAGCAAAAGACAGCGTCCGAGTTGGGCAGACGCGGCTCTGAAGGTGTGGACGGCGCCGGGCGCGGGGAGGAGCCCGGGGGCCGCGGGGCCGCCGCTCGCCACCGCCCGGGAAGAGCGGAGGAAGCGGCGGGCGCCGCGTGCCGGGGGGCACGGGGGCAGCGGCGGGGCGGGAGGTGGCGACGCAGAGAAAGGACTTTGCCAACTGTGTTTTTAATGGAGTAAAATCCATGTGGTTTATATATTTTTTTTCCTTTAATCTTGGGCATTTCGTTTCTCTTTCTGAGAACATAACTTGAAAACACTACAGAGCCAATACTCATATAAAGAAAAATTGTATCCCATAAATGCTGTACAGTTTTTATATACATTAACAATGTACTTTTGCTGCCTTCTAGATAATTTATTTTGCAACACATTACTGCACAGTTGTAAATAACTTATGTACTGTAACATCACTTTCAGTTATGTGTAAAGAAATAAATAAATTAATTAAAATTACCTTTGTACGTATAGCTCACCCCAGGCAGCACCCTGAAGGAGCCAGGAGGTGCTCAGTGGTTTGGAAGCCTGCCTGATGCACCCGTGCTGTGCGCACAGGTCCCCTGAATTCAGTTTGTGCTGCACAGACCCCCGGAGGCCAACTCCTAACCTCGGGTGGCTCCTAACCCCGTGGTGCTGCTCCTGCTTCAGTGCAGCCGGGTGCTCGGAGTCGAGGAGCTGCTGCTTTAGGGTTGCAGAGCTCGGAGCAGGAGCAGAAATGGGGAGCCCAGCGCTGCCCCGGCCCTGCCATGGCCCCGTTGGCTGAATTCGCTCCTGCTCCTGGGGCCTCTCCGTAAGGGGTGAGGGAGGGAAGGGGCACGCGGCACCCTGGTGTCCCTCCTGTCACCAACCCTGCACCGCTGTGGGGCTGTCACCACTGCGTGCTCTGTGCTCCGTGTGCCCGTGTCTGTGCCGTGGTGTTTGCCTGGCTCACATCGAGCCATCCTGCTGGCAGCTGGGCCTCGAGCACAAGTGCTCAGCACCAGGGCTTGGAGAGGTTCAAGTGCCTCTCCCACGGCCCCTGCGCCCTGCTTGCAGCTGCCGCCCGCCCTTGCCTGGCACGCAGGAAGCCTGGGGGGGCACCCCCCGCCTCTCTGGCTGCCCCCACCCGCCTCTTGCTTTCTTTTTCCATTTTTTCCAGGCGCACACACACTGCTCAGACCCCTCGCCTGCTGCTTTTGGAACCAGGGAGGAGTTGAGCACGACACGGTTCCAGGGTGCTGCTGGGCTCAAGGGCACGGCGCAGCCCAGTCCTCCCCAGTCCTCCCCAGTCCTCCCCAGACCTCCCACTGCAGCTCGGGCTATGCCGGCCGCACACAGCACAGGGGGAGCTCCTGGGGCTGGGGATCTGGAGGGTGTCCCTGCATCGTGTCCCACTGGGGTCCTGCTTTCCCCAGCCTGGTGCCCCCCACCCCTCCAGCAGGGATTGGGTCCCAGTGTTTATGGGTGCTGTGGCCTCACTGGATCCTAAATGGTTTTGTCCCCAGCCTGGCTTAGGGTTGTTGTGTTGGGGTGGGCGATGGGCACCAGCTGGGGGGGCTGCTCCTGGGGTGAGAGGGGGCCTGGGGCATCCTCACACCCAGCTGATTTTTTACCTAACGCCCAGCCCTGCCCTTTCCTTCATTAAATAACTGCAAAGTGCCGCATCCCAGGGCTGTGCAGGGGGGGACACAGAGATAACGGGCACAAAGAAATTAAGGAAAAACCAAAAAGGCTCCTCTGGGGGCTCGGCTGCTTCTTCCCCCTTCCCACCGCGCTCCCCCTTGTAGGGTTTTGTCCCGGAGCCCTCCTGGGGGTCCCCCAGCCCCTGGAGGCTCAGCGGGGGCCGGGAGCACCCATGGGTGCTGGTGTCCATCCTGGAGCAGCTCTCGGCCCCCCCGAACCCCCGGGAACAAGCGGGGTGCGCAGGGGGAGGCTGAGCCGGGCAGGGGCGCACGACCCGGGCTGGGCTTGGGGGGGGCGCACAGGGGTCGGGAGGTGTCTGGGGGGGTCCGGGGCTGGGATTCGGGCCCGGGGGGGGGCCAGAAGGAGGGGGCAGGACCTGGCTCCGGGGGGGGGCGGTGCCGCGGAGGGGCCGAGCCGAGCCGAGCCGTGCGCGCCCTCACCTGCCCGGCCCCAGCGGGATGGAGGCGGCGGGGGCAGCAACCGGGGCAGCAACCGGCACCGGGGGGGGGGCACGGCCTCGGGGCCGCCGTGCCGCGGGGGGGTGGGCTCCGTGCTTGGCGCTGGCGCTGGGCTGGGCGCTGGGGTGGGCGCTGGGAGCGGAGCCCCCCCACCGCTGCCGCCCCGACGCCGCGCTCCTGCCGCCGCCGCTGCGCCGCCTGGCGGGGGCCGCCCTGCTCCGAGCCGCCGTCCCCCGGCTCCGCGGGGGCTGGAGCCCCTGCCAGCTCTACCGGTACCGCCACGGCCCCCCCGCGACCCCCGGCACGGCCCCCGGCACCGCCACCGCCCGCCCCGACGGCACCGGGCCCTGCACCCGCGGCTGGCATTACGCACTGCCCGCAGCCGGGCTGCGCTCCAACATGGTCACGCAGGTTGGGGGGGGGATATTTGGGGAGGGGGGAGATGTTTGGGGGTGTAGGAGAGGGGTCCTGGGGATGGGGAGGGGGATGGGGAGAGGGGTTGTAATGGGGTTCCTAAGGTTGGGGTGATAGGGGAGGGGTCCTGGGGATGGGGAGGTTTGGGGAGGTTAGGGGGAGCCCGAAGTTTGGGGAGGGGGTAAGGTTTGGGGTGGGTCTGGGGGTGTTCCCTTTGTTTGGGGAGGGGGGGTCTGGGGGTGTTTTCCGTGTTTGGGGAGGGGTTGAGGGGATCCCTGAGTTTTGGGGGGCTCGGGGATCCTGGATTAGGGTGGGGGATTCTGGGGAGTCCTAAGGGTCCCAGGGGGATTGAGGGGTTTTGGGGTGTTGGGAGGGTTTGGGGGGGTCCCCAGGGTCCGGGATGGTTGGGGGGGGGCAAAAGGGGCCTGGGTCTGGAGGTCTCGGGGGGGGCTCCAGGCTGGGGGAGGCTGGAGGAGGTCGGGGGGCCCTGGGATCGTGGGTGCAGGAGGGGTTGGGGGGGCTGTGGGGAGTCCTGGGGAGGGTGTGAAGGGGACTGGGGGGGTCCCTGGGGGACAAGCTGGGGGCCCCAGCGAGGGAAAGCCCTGGCTGTTCTGGAGGGCCTGGGGAAGAAGAATTTTGCTTGGGGGGTCCTGGGAACAGCCAGCAGACCCCCATGGGGGGGGACAAGGGGTGGCTGTGGGGTGGGGAGCTCTGCTGTGCGGGGGGGGACACGACAAAGACAGGGCTCTGGGGGCCACCAGCACCACTCTGTGCCCCACGCTTCTGCCTGGGGGTGGGGGCCGCCCAGAAGCCCCCCGACAAAGCGTGGGGCTCGTGACCCCACCGGCGCCGTCCGTCCCAGCCCTGTGGGCAGGGGGGGCTCTGCTGGGCCCCCCCATGCAGACACATCCCCGTGGCCCGCAGTGGGACCTGGTGTGCGCCTCGCGCTGGAAGGTGCCCCTGGAGCAGACCACGCACTTGCTGGGCTGGACCCTGGGCAGCGTCGCCGCCGGCCTGGCCTGTGACAGGTAAAAGGGGGGGGGTCCCCGGGGCGCTCCCCCCATGGGGCACCCGGCCCAGCTGATGCCCGGCCCCGCAGGTTCGGCCGCCGCCCCACCTTCGTGGTGTCCCTGGGGCTGGCGGTGCCCCTGGGGCTCGGCGTGGCGCTGGCCATCAACTTCCTCATGGTCCTGGTGGCGAGGATGCTCTTTGGGGCCGCGCTGGCGGGCGCCTTCCTCTCCCTCTACGTGGCACGTGAGTGCACCGGCAGGGTTTGGGGTGCTGCGGGGTTTTGGGATCCTTTGGGGTTTTGGGATCCTTTGGGGTTTTGGGGTGCTGCGGGGTTTTGGGGTGCTGTGGGGTTTTGGGATGCTGCAGCATTCAGGGCGCTGTGGGATGCAGGATGCTGTGGGGTGCCCTGTGGCCATGGCACCCACGCTGCACCCCTTGTGTCCCCCCCCCAGGGCTGGAGCAGTGCGACCCCCCGCACCGGCTGGAGGTGACGATGGTGGCCGGCTTCTTCTGGATCGCCGGGGAGCTGCTGCTGCCGGGGCTGGCCGTGCTGTGCCGGGACTGGCGGGTCCTGCAGGGCGCCGTCACCATGATCCTGGCTCTGCTGGCTGCCTGCTGGTGGTGAGGACCCCCCCATTTCGGGGCTGGTGTGTGCAGGGGGCCAAGCCACACCGGGCAGCGCCCTGTCCCGGCACACCCTGCCCGGGGCTGCGGGGCATCAAAGCCGCCGGGGCTCTCCAGGCTCCCCGGGTAAATGTTTGCTCAGGTTTGAAGCCGAGGGTTTCCAGGCACAGCGCGGCTCTGAGCCAGGCAGGGGGAGGTGGTGGTGGTGGTGCTGGGGGGGGGCACAGTCCCCGCGGACACCCCGTGACACCGCCGCTTGCCCCAGGTGCCCGGCGCTGCTGCTGGAGTCCCCGCGCTGGCTGCTGGCCACGCAGCAGCTCCAGAGGGCCAGGAGGACGCTGCAGGCGCTGGCTGAGAGCAGCGGCCGCGGTGCCGACGACCAAGGGAGCCTGATGGCGGGTGCGTGGGGGGTGCCTGCTGGGCCCCCCCTTCCCAAACCGGCCGTGCTGGGGCTCTGTGGGGCTGTCCCGGCTCTAACCCGGTCCCACCGTGCGCACAGAGCTGGAGACGCTGGCTGAGGGCTCCCCCCAGCCCCGCTACCACGCCGTCTGCGAGATCTTCAGCACCAGGGTGATCTGGAAGAACAGCGTCATCCTCGGCTTCACCGCGTGAGCAGCCGGGGGGGATAATGCTGTGGGGTGGGGGGAGCGGCCCCAACCGGCCCCCCAACCCCCCCTTGCTGAGCCCCCCATCCCGCAGCTTCATCGGCTCCGGCATCCGGCACTGCTTCACCCGCAACCTGGCCCCGCACCTGCCCCGCTTCTCCTCCTACTTGGCGCTGGTGGGTGCCGAGGCGGTGGCCTGCCTCTTCCTCTGCCTCACCGCCGAGCGCTTCGGGCGCCGCGCCGTGCTGCTGCTCTGCACCGTGCTCACCGGCATCTCCTCCCTGCTGCTGCTGGCCCTCACCCAGTGTAAGGCAGGGGGTGGGGTGGGCACAGCGGGACCGGGTGCTTGGGGGGTGCAGGGTGAGCCCCCGGTGATGTCTCCTCCACCCCCCTGCCCTCTCCAGACCTGCTGGACCTCATCGTGCTGACCCTGTCGGTGGTGGGCATCACCGCCTCGCACGCCGTCACCATGCTCAGCATCTTCTTCGCCAGCGAGGTGCTGCCCACCGTGGTCAGGTCAGGGGGGAGCCGCCCCCTCCCCAGGACCCTGTTTCCTCCCCCTCCTTCTTTTCTGAGCATTTTTTCCCCTTCCCCTCCCCGCAGGGGCGCCGGGCTGGGGCTGATCGTGGGGGCCAGCTTCGTGGGCAAGGCGGGCCGCCCCCATCACGGCCATCCCCAACAGCCGCGGCTTCTTCCTGCACCACTTGGTGTTCGCCTCCTTCGCCATCCTCTCGGTGCTCAGCATCATGCTGCTGCCCGAGAGCCGCGGCCGCGGCCTGCCCCAGTCCCTGCAGGACGGCGAGAGCCAGCGCCGGCCCCCCCTGTTCCACCGCCCCCCCCGCGAGGACCACCTGCCCCTGCTCGCCCCCCGCGGCATCCCCCACGACTACTCCCGCCTCGTCTCCTCCGCCAAGCGGGCGCTGGGTCCCCGGCACAGCCCCACGGCCGCCCCCCCGGAGACGTAGCCGTGCCCCCCTCCCTGCTGCTGGAAGGGCTGGGGGGGGCAAGCATCACACCACTGGGACCCCCCTGGTTGCAGCGGGTCCCCCCCCGTCCCCACGTGGCCCTGGGCGCAAAGCTCCGGGCTGCGAGCGGTGGTGGGGCTGGGGGCTGTGCGCCCACCCCCCCCTTGGGGCCGGATCCTGCCCCAGGAGGAGCTGTGCTGGGAGTCCTGGGGTGGGGGTGATGCCCCGGGGGGGGGCTGCAGCTGCCAATAAAAGTGCCTTGTTTCTACACGGGCGGCTGGTGCGGCCGGGGTCCCGCCAGCCCCCTTGGTTGGGATTTTTATTGGGAAGGGACCAAGGGGGGCTCTGTGGCCCCCCCATCCCCGCTGGCACACTGCTCGCACCATCAAGGCTCTGCTGGGTGTGGGGTCCCTCTGCTGCTGCTCTGGGTGGGGGGCACACGGGGGTGCAAAGACCCCTGCAGCCGGGCACCTGGTGCGTGCACGGAGCCTCCACCTTTGGGCACCTCGTGTGCGAGACCCCCAAACTCCCCAGCCCCCCCCACGGCCCCTCTACTGCCCGTAGAGGTCAGCCAGGCGCCTGAAGCGGGGCCCCCACTCGCTCAGGTAGTCGTAGTCCTGGTCCTCGTCCGTCAGGCTGGACACGATGGAGCTGAGCGGGCTGGCCACGGAGCCCGAGCCCTCGTAGTCGTAGATGAGGGCGGTGTCGTAGGGGGGCACGCTGGGGTCGCTGTCAGCCGCCTCCAGCCCCTGCGGGGACAGGAATGGCATCAGCCCTGCTATGGAAAGGGAAGCAGGGGGGTGCCGAGCCCGGTCCCACCTCGTTGATGAAGTCCTCGATGTCTGAGGGGCCGCTGGGCAGCTTGCGGGGCGCCGAGGGGGTGCCGGAGCGCAGCGGGGCGTCCCTGCGCACGGGGGGCTTGGCGCGGGGCTGGAGGAGCTGGGGGTGCCGCAGCTGGTTGATGTCGTAGGCGTCCTGCGGGGACCGGGATGTGTCAGGGCTGTTGGGGCTACGATGAGCCCCCCCCCCCCCTCCAGCCCTGCCCGGGGTGCCCCCCATCACCTGGTCCTCCTCGCCACCGCCCTGCTCGTCGTAGTTGAGGATGTTGTCGCGCATGTCGTCCCGCGAGCGCTGCAGCAGCCCCTTGCGCAGCGCCCGGCGGCGCCCGCGCACCTGTGCAGCCCCCAGGAGTGCCAGCACTGCGGGGGGGAGAGGGTGGGCATGGGGCCAGGACCCCCTCAGGGGGAATGGGGTGTAGGGTATTGGGCAAGGAAGGGACGGGGATGGGGCTGGGGTGGCATGGGATGGGGATGGGATGGGGATGGGGATGGGGATGGGGATGGGGATGGGGATGGGGATGGGGATGGGATGGGGATGGGGATGGGGATGGGGATGGGGATGGGGATGGGGATGGGGATGGGATGGGGATGGGGATGGGGATGGGGATGGGGATGGGGATGGGATGGGGATGGGGATGGGGATGGGGATGGGGATGGGGATGGGGATGGGGATGGGGTGGGGTGGCCAGGACTGGGCTAATTTGATGTGGGCCATGGGATGGGGTGGGATACGGTGGCCAGGACCATGATAGGGTGATGAGGGACATGGGTTGGGATGGGTTGTGGTGGCCAGGACTGGGATGGGGCAGTGGGTTGGGGGCTGGGGGTTGGGACGTGGTGATGGAGCGTGCTGCTGGGATTTGGGTCCTGCACCATGAGGAGAGACACGAGGAGGGGTTGGGGTACCCAGGAGTGGGTGGGGGGGCTCTGGGGGTGTCACTCACGCAGGAGCAGGGTGCTGCTGCCGAGGATGACCAGGAGAGCCTCCAGGGTGATGCCGACCCCGGCGGTGGCAGCGGCCAGGACGCCGTCCCTCGCAGGTGCCATCGCGGCCGCAGGGACACACCGAGACGTTCAGCAGCTGCTGCTGCTCCCGGGGGGGGGTCCCCGAGTCCCGCAGCAGCAACGGCAGCGAGTAGAGCCCCTCGGGCAGCTCCACCAGCACGGCCAGCACCGCGTGGGTCACTGCGGGGGGGGCACAAGGGCTGGGGTGAGTGGGGACCCCCCATGCGACAGCGACCCCCCTGAACTCCAGCCCTCCCTCACCATTGAAGCGGGTGATGCTCCAGTTCCGGGCGAGCTGGGGGTGCTGGGGGCTGAGCTGGAAGTGGAAGGGGGCTCCGTGGGGGGGGCGGTCGTCGTCGGTGGCCCCCAGCAGCAGGCTCCCCCCGCGGCCAGGCCGCCCGCACACCACGCCGGCCGGCGGCTGCAGCAGGGGCGCGTGGTCGTTCACCTCCAGGATCTCGATGGAGAGCGTGCCGGTGGCGGACAGCGGGGGGCTCGGCTGGGTGGGGGCGAGGAGCAGAGGGGTCAGGGGGTGCCGAGGGGCACAGGGGGGGCTCGGGGGGGGTGGGGTGCTCACCGTCATCACGGGCGAGCACCAGGGCGATTTGTACCAGCCGCCCTGCAGGAAGGCCGAGGGGGTGCCGCAGCTCCCGCTTGGTGCGCACGGTGCCGGAGTGCGGGTCCAGCTGCAGCCAGCCCGCGGGGTCGTACAGCAGCGCGTAACTGGGGGCACAGGGCGGGGGGCACACCATCACCACCCCCCCTTCCCAAAAATACCCACCGCCGGCTGCACACCTGGGTGCCCAAATGCAGCACTCACGTGAGGGTCTGGAGCTGGCGCGTGTCGGGGTCGCTGGCGGTGTAGGTGGTGACAGGGGTGCCCGGGGGGGCCCCCTCTGGCACGCTGACTCGCCGCGGGTTCTCGCGGAAGACGGGCGCCTCGTTCACGTCCCGCACCCGCACCTGCACCGTGGCCAGCGCCCGCGGGCTGCCCGGGGCCCCCGGCTCCAGCGGCTTGCTGGTTCTGCACCGACACCGTCAGCTGGAAGCGGGTCCCGCACCTCGTGGTCCAGGGGCTGCCGAGGGGTGGGGGGGACACACAGGGGGTCAGCGGAGCTGCCAGCACCCCCATCCCCATGCCCAGCACACCGGGTGCCCCCCCCCCGGGTGCCCACCTTGGCCACGGAGAGCACGCCGTCGTTGGTTGTAGGGGTCGGTGTGGATGGCGAAGGCGCCCTCGGGGTCGCCCTCCAGGATGGTGAATTTGGCCAGCCAGTTGGGCGAGCCGGCCAGGTCCTTGTCGTGCACCAGGACCCTGCCCACCTCCAGCCCGGCCGCCTGCTCCTCCACCTCCATGGAGAACTGGGGGGGGAGCAGCACGGGGCTGGCACCTACCCCCCAGGATCCAATGTCCCAAATTGTGTCCCCCCTCGTGTCCCACCCCAACCGCTACCTCCTCCTTGGTGAACTCGGGGGCGTTGTCGTTGATGTCCTCCAGGTAGATGACGGCTGTGGCCGTGGTGGTGAGCCCGTCCCCGGACATATCGGCCGCCTGCAGCGTCAGGTTGTACACCCCCACACTCTGCGGGGGGGCAAGGGGGAGGCGCTGAGCCCCCCCAGCAGCCACAGGGACGAGGTGTCCACCCCTCACCACGGCTGGCCGTGCGCACGGACCAACCCATGGCTCCTCCAGCCCCGGTGCCCCCCTTAATGCCCCCCCCGTGCCCCCTACCTCTCGGTCGAGGCCGGGCCGTGCGGTGCAGATCTCTCCCGTGGTGGCGTTGATGCTGAACATGCCGCCCGCGCCCTGCTCCAGGATGGAGAACCGCAGCGCCGCGTTGTCCGTCTCGGGGTCATCGGCATCGGTGGCCTCCACCGTCATCACGCAGGTCCCTGCGGCCACCAGAGCACCCCCGGTGGGTGCTGGCACGGGGGCCGGCTCGTGTCCCCCCCCACCCCGGGTGGCCGCGGGGTCCCACCTGGCTCGGCGCCCTCCACCACGCGCCCCGTGAAGACGTCCTGGCGGAAGAGCGGCCGGTTGTCGTTCTGGTCCACCACGATGATCTCCAGGTCCGTGGGGTCCTCCAGTGTCACGCCGCCCAGGTCCAGGGCAAAAGCCTTCAGCTGGGGGCACGAAGCAGGTGGGTGAGGGTGAAGGGGGGGGGCTGGGGGCCACGGGTACGCACAGCCGGGTCATATCCTTACCCGAAATCGGTCGTTTCTCCTCCCGGTCCAGCATGGCGTTGAGGAAGACCTTGCCGCTGAACTTGTCGATGGAGAAGATGCCCAAGGGCTCCTCGTCCACCCCCGGCCCCTTGATGCTGTAGATCACCCCCCCCGGCTGCTGCTTGTCCGACTTGATCTGCCCAGAGGAAAGCAGGGCTGGGGCTGGGGGGCTGGGGGCTGCCCCCCGGACCCCTGGGGTCGTGGTGGGGGGGGTGGCCTCACCCCCAGGGCAGGGTGCTTGGGGTGGGGGGGTCCCTGCACCCAGGGGAATTGGGGCTCCATCCCCTCCGTGCTACATGGGGATCTCCTCACTGGGGGGGCCCTGTGCTGCCCCCCATAGTGTCCCCCCCCCATTTTTTCCCCGCCTACCTGCACCAGGAGGTGTGGGATGCGCTTGTGGTTCTCCGAGACGCTGATGGGGGGGATCACCCAGGCCCTCTTCACCCGCCGGGGGCCCTCGTGCTGCCGCCAGCCGGGGGGGCTGCCTGGGGCCGTGCTGGCACCCTGAGGGGGGAGGGGGACACCGTGCTGCCGAGTGGGACACGGGGGCTTCGTGGTGGCCCCCCCCCCATCGTGGTGATGGGCACCCCAAGAAGGGGGCAGAAATGCCTGGCACGGCCCCAACCCATATCACCGTCACCGCATGGGGGGGTCCGGGCTGGGGTGGGGGGCACGGAGCTGGGGGGCTGCAGCCAGGGCTGGGCTGGGGGCATGTGGGGAGACCCCCCCCCCCCTTCCCGTTTATCTGGGAGGCTGCTGGAGCTCGGGGAGGGCAGGGAGGGGGTGGTTGGATAATGGGGGGGGGTGAGGGGGGGTCCCTGTGGGTCCGCTTGCCTTCCTTCCCCCCCCCCCCAGAGCTATGGGGCCCAGGCCAGACCCCGACAGCCCCACATGGCTCAGGCCTGAGGCCGCGGTGAGGGGCACGGGGGGGGCTGTGTGCGAACAGTGGGGTGGGAGGGGGCTGGGGGGGGGAAATCCGGCAGTGCTGCTAGGGGGTGGTGAGGGGAGCAGCGTGTTTCTGAGCACCAGCCCCCCCCATACCCCTCTCGCCGCTTTCCAGCCCAGGCAATGTGCCGGAGGCCCCCCCCCTGCCCCGGCCACCGCCACCATCTGTGGGGTGGGAAATGGCCCAGGAGGGGCGCAGAGCCTGCGACACCCCCGTCCCCATCCCCGACACCCCCCTCCCATCCCCAAATCCCCCCTCTCCATCCCCAAATCCCCCCTCTCCATCCCCGACACCCCCGGAGACGTGCGTCCGCAGGGCCTGGGCCCCATCCCAGCCACCCCCCACCCCCACCAACCCATTTTTTAGGGGGGTGGGGGTAAGTTTCAGCCCCCCCCCATCCCTTACCCTGGCGCAGAGGGGGGCGAGCAGGCAGGCGAGCAGGAGCGGGGGGCCCCATGGCCGAGCGGGCGCAGTCCGAGCCGCTCGCCGGCCCCGAGCTAAAATAACCGCGGGGCTGGCTGAGTGACAGCACATGTGCTGCCGAGCGGCCCGGGCCCCCCCCGGCAGGGCAGCTGGCCCCACAGCCCCCCCCCGCCGCCCCCCGGCCCGGCCCGATGCCGCCCGGCTGCGCGCAGGGGGCCCGACGGGGCTGGCGGTGCGCACGGGGAGACCGGGGAGAAGGGGGTCCGAAAGGCTGGGGGGGGTCCACGAAGGGGTCCCCGGGGGTGCCGTGTGTCCCCCCCCCCTCCTCCTTTGCACGGCACTTTGTGGATGGGGGCTGCGCCCCCCCCTCGCCCCGGGCAGGGCGCTGGGAATGCGGCAGCTGCCGCCGGGTGCGCCCCGGGGATGCCGCGACGGGGCGGGCGGAGAGCCCCGGGCCCGCTGCTCCCCCCCCGGCAGCACGGCCCCGGCCCCCGCCAGGCATCGTCGCCCCCCTCCTGCTCTCGATCTCCCCCCCCTCGGGGGGGCTCTGCTCGCCCCCAGCCCCGCCGGGCCCCCGCGGCCGCGTTCCGGGGCAGGTGCGGGGCCATCTGGGCTGGCGGCGGGCGCTGGGCGGGGGCCAGGGAGGGCTGCGAGGGGGGGGGCAGCGGCAAGGCTGGGGCCAGCACCAGCCCAGCACAGTCCCAGCCCATTCCCACCTCACCCCATACAGCTCCAACCCATCCCATCCCATATCCCCACCCCATCCCATCCCATCCCATCCCATCCCCATCCCCATCCCATCCCATCCCATCCCCATCCCATCCCATCCCATATCCCCACCCCATCCCATCCCATCCCATCCCATATCCCATCCCCATACCCATCCCATCCCCATCCCCATCCCCATCCCCATCCCATCCCATCCCATCCATCCCATCCCATCCCATCCCATCCCACCCCATATCCCATCCCCATCCCACCCCCCCCTCCCATCCCATCCCATCCCATCCCATCCCATCCCATCCCATCCCATATCCCCATCCCATCCCATCCCATCCCATCCCATCCCATCCCATATTCCCATCCCATCCCATCCCCATCCCCATCCCCATCCCATCCCCATCCCCATCCCATCCCATCCCATCCCATCCCCATCCCCATCCATCCCATCCCATCCCATATCCCCATCCCAATCCCATCCCATTCCCCATCCCATCCCATCATCCCCATCCCATCCCATCCCCATCCCAATCCCATCCCATCCCATCCCATCCCATCCCATCCCATCCCATCCATATCCCCATCCCATATTCCCATCCCATCCCATCCCGCAGCACCAGAGGGCAGCATCGCCCCGGCCACCGGCTCCGTGTCCCCGCACCCCGGGGGCCGCACCGGGGAGCGGCCGGGTGTGGGGGGGGCCGGGCTGCAGCGGGTGCCTCCCCCACACCCCATCCAGCCCCGTTCCCCTCCCTGGGGACCCCCCGGTTCCCTCCTGCGCAGAGCATCTGGAGAGCGCTGCGGGGCTGCTGCAGGGGGGGCAGCCCAAAGGAAAAAAGGCTGGGGGACACAGGGGGGTCTTCTGCACCCCCCCAGCTCCTCACCGAAGCCAAGTGGTGGCAGGGCTTCAGGTGGCCAGGGGACAGCAGAGGGGACATGGAGCCGTGCCACGAGTGGGTGAGCGTTGGGCACCGGTGACCCCACGGCACGGCTCAGCCCCCTCCCTGTCCATCTGCCCGACCCCATTTATCCGCCCACCCTCCTGCCCTGCCACCCCACATCAGTGTCACAGCGGGGAGCAGCCCCGGTGGCTGTGGCTGGGGGTCCTGGCAGCTGACCCTGACCCTAATGCGCCGTGGCAGCGGGGTGGCCGAGCAGATGTTCCCTGCCACCGGCACCGCGGCGCAGGGGGCACGGGGCGCAGACGTGATGGGGTCTGACAAGGTGCCAGCGCCAGGCCGTGGGCACATCCCGGTGGCACAGCTCCGTTCCCAGCAGGGCAGCGTGGCCTCTGACCCCCCAGCCCCAAAAACCTGCCCCTCGAGCCCAGCCCAGCACAAGAGTTTTGGGGCTTGTGCCCAGCTGCGTCCCCAGTGCGGCACTGGGACCAGTCCTGCCCTAACGTGGGTGCAGTGGGGGAGCGAGCAGCTGGGAGCGTGGCGCTGAGCAGCGAGGTGCCAAATGCCGGCACAGCAGCCATAAAGCCACCGGAGCTTCGGTTTTATACGGCCATAAAAGATAATGTCAGCCATAAAGCGCGAGCGTGGGGCCCGGCGTGCCGAGCCGTGCTGAGCCCAGTGCAGGGATGAGCGGCTGGGAGCACCCAGGGGACAGCCCCCAGCTCCCCGGGGACACCCCAACAAGGGGTGAGCGGCACCTCAGGGGGCTGGCACCTCGGGGCATTGCACCCATGGGTGCCCTGGGGTGGCTCCGGGCAGGGGGAGGCTGCAGTGGGGTCGGGGACGCTGCGGGATGGCCCCGTTGGTGGTGCCCGAGTTGGGTGGTGGGGCGGGCGCATTAAGGAGGCTACTTTGGGTTTTGTTGTTGTTTTAATGGTTTTATTGCACGGTGCCGGGCCGGGCCTGGCAGGGCTTAATGAAGGAGATTGATGGCTTAATAGCCTGTAGGCATTACGGGGTAATTGAATGGTTGTGTACATATGATCAGACCGTCAGCGCGGACGTGGCTCGCAAGCAAAGTGACTGGAGCATCCCCGACGGATGTGGCACGGGGGGTGCAGAGCCTTGGGGACCCCCATTCTGTCCCCAATGTCCGGGCTGTGTCGGTGTCCCGGGGCCACATCCAGCAGCGAGGGGAGGCAGCGGGGTCTCCAGGTTCCTCCAGCGGCACCAAGGTACCCAAATCTGTCCCTGGCCAACACAGCTCCAACCTGGGGCGTGGGGCACGGTGACCAGGTGCTTTAACGAGGTTCTCAATAAACTGCTGCCATCTGTAGGGAGGAACGAGCTGGAGGGGCTGGGAGCCGGGGGGCCAGCACAGAGGCTGATCCCAAAGCCGGGGGTGCCGTGGCCACCGACCACCCTCCCTGCAGCAGCCACCCCCGGGGACGAGACCCGGCGGTGCGGCAGCCGGTCCTGCGCCGGGGTGCGAGTCACACTACTCATTTCAGTGTGTGACAGCCAGGTGTTTTACAGTATTTGCTACCTGTGATCATCCATCAAAGCAATCGATAGCGTTCCTGCAGAGTTTTATTAATGATCTTGTCACCAGGCTGGTGCTGGGTGCCTGGGGTTGTCGAGAATGATAGATCATTAAGAGCTTTTGCTGCTATTTATTCTCCAGTGACCTTGTCTCTCTCCATTGTTGCTTGCTTAAGAGTTATGAATGTGAGACATGATAATTTGATATTGATCTATTTGCTAAGTTAAAAAATTTACTGCATCGCTGATGTTTTAACAAAGGATCCGCTCGGTCCCTCCGCGGAGAGCTGGGCTCTGACACCGCAGCGCACGCTGATCGCCCTCCCAGGTGCTCGGGGCTCCGCCGACCCTAACGAAGATATTTAATCAATTACCCACGCTCCCCATCCCTCCCACCCTTCCTGGTGCCCCATGGCTGGCAGGATGAGCCGTGTCCCCCCCCCGTGCCGGGGATGGAGCCGCAGGGCACGGCCGTCAGCCCCCGTGGTGACATCGATCCGGCAAAGCGTGCGTGAAGTCAAACAGGGACAAAGCTCCGTTTATGAAGGTAGAATCTATCGATACCGCCTGTCCTCCAGGAAATCGATGACCTTCAGACGTGGGCGTGCACGTGCAGTGTGATTTGTGCCGCAGCTGCTCCCCGCTGCCTCCTGCTCCCCGTCCCCACAAGCGGTGGTGCCAGCACCCCGTAATCGCCCCGTACTGGTGTGGAAGCACCTCGGTGGCAGAGATGCTGTGGGTTATTCAGCACCCCCTGTATTTATTTGTGCTTCTCATTGCTGCTTCAGTTCCGTGGGAAAGCAGGAGGCAGCATTTGTTGGAGGCTGGAGGCACGGGGCGCTCACTCGCAGCGGGTTATGGGGTGTCCCAGGGCACCCAGCCCCTCCGGCTCTCCCTTTGTGAGCCAAAGTTGGTGAGCCCGTGGGAAAGGGCAGAGAGGGAGGCAAAATTACCAGGCACTGCCACAGCTGGCTGAGGACAGGGGTTTAATGTGAGGAGTGAGTTCAGCTGGTGACGAGCAGCACGCAGCCCGAGGCAGGGCTACAGCAGGAATGGGGACAAGCACCCAGCAGAGGTAACGGGGAGCCTGGAGCCCTCCCAGCCAGGGTTTGGGGTGTCCACGGTGCACAGAACTGAGCCCCACGCTCAGCCCTCACCTTTCTGCTTCTCACCTGTCCTACACGTGTGTTAAACGGAGCAGCTCTGTCCCGTGAGTGCCTGCTGGCAGCACTCAGACAAGGGGTGCAGTCCTAGCCCAGGCTCCCCCCCCCAAATTCACCCCATTTCACTTCTACGGGCAGGACAGCCCTGGTCCTCCTGCACGAGGAGTGATCCCTGCAGCTCTTCAGCCAAGGAGAAGAGCAGGCAGGGTGAATCTCGCTTTTATTGGGCTTGGTTTCATGGGCAGGAGCGCAGAGAGCCCAGACCTGCCCCTGCTGATCCCTGCTGGCACCCCACCAGCACCAGTTCAGCCCTGGAAGTGACGTGGCAGTGAGTGGAGCACCCCCAGGCTCCTGGTCCCGTCCCGTGGCCGTGCGCTAGGCTGGGTAAAAGCGCTGCAGCAGCTCCTTCTTGTTGACTTTTCCCATCTGGTTGCGTGGGATCTCCTCCACCACAATCAGCTCTGTGGGGATGGTGTACGGTGCCATGGTGTCCCTGCAACACGGAGACGCAGACCATCAGAGCTGACCGAAATCTGTGCTTCCAGCCCCTCCTGAGGCCCCAGCAGCACCCCAAAACCCTGCTCACCCCTCGCAGGGTGCAGGAGAGCCTCCAGCAAGGAGGCAGTGCTGTTAACGGGGACTCCTCAACCCTCCCCATGAGATGTGGCAGGGGAAAACAGCACCGTGGCACTAAGGATGCTGAAACCGTGCCTGTCCCCGGTCCTGTCCCTGCACAAAGCCCCCTGGGGGCCAGCTTTGGGCCGTGCTGGTGGCAGGGTGCCAGGCTGTGTGACAGCCCACAGGGCTCTGCCTGCTGCAGGAGGGAGGCTGAGCTCGGCGTGCCATCCCCGTGCCCTTTGTGGCACGCAGGGGGAGGCTCTCCTGCCTTCTGTGCCATGTGTCACCAGCCTGGGGCCGTGCCCAGCCCCAGCACCGCGCTGGCAGCGGCTCTAAGGCGAGGTGCCAAGTCTGCAGAGCCCTCACCCGCTGCCACCAGCACCCCCAGTACTCCCAGTACCCCCTGCCAGATGGACGTCTCCAGCTCGGGGTGGTGCCGGCAAGCGCGGCTGGGGGCCAGAGCTGCGAAATGAGTCACGCTGAAGGGGGACATGTGTCTCCTGCCAGGGAGTGCGAGAAAAGGGCCAGGCAAATGTTAAGTGGCATGAAAAATAAAGGGGAGAGACAGGGGGAGGCAGACGGGGAGAGCTGGAGAAGTGCCTGCAGGGAGCAGGGCTGGTGCTGGGCGCACAGCGCTGTGGTCACCTCCTTGTAGCCTCGAGTGGGTTTTGCTTAAAGGGCTCTGGGGGCTGCCACAGCTGCTAGGGGTAACGAGGGCCATGGGCACAGAGTGGGGATGAAGGATCTGCCGGAGACCCCAGCGTCCTTGCCGTGAAGCTCAGGGGTGAGCAGCCACCGTGGGTGCCACACGGAGAGGCCACGGTGGCATCCACACCAACCCAGACAGACCGAGCCTGGCCACAGAGGGAAATCTCCACTTGCAGGAGGACATCAGCGTGAAGAAACAAAAGCTGCTGCTGGATTTGGCTGCCTTGGAGGAGCAGGAGCCCCGGAGAGCTGGCAGCCAGAGGGCTAAGGCGTGCACAGCACGCAGGGGTGGCAGCAGGAGGGACCCCGGTGGGGTCCTGGCCCCTCTGCCCAAGCAGCGCGGGCGCAGGTTTGGTTTCTTTGTTCGCTTCTCTTCCCCCCACCACGCAACTGTTTAATCAGAGCAGCAGCCGGCCAGCTAGCATCTTCCCTGCATTTGCTAAATCGCAGTCCCCCAACTGTGATTTTTGCAAATCCAGGGGAAATCTTTAATTGGCTGGCTGTGCAGCCCCTGATGAAACAAGTGCTCCTGCCGCTTGCAAAATAGCGCCAGCCTCGCCAAAAATATCCGCAGCCTGGAGGAGGGAGTTGCCAGGAAAAGAAAGAATCTGCTATTAAATATTTTGCTAATGGAATATTAGCGATAAACCTGGCGATTCTGCTTCCTGGCTCCAGCTTGTGCTCTCCTCCTCCTGCAGCTGATGCCCCAGACCTCGTAGCTCTTGGACTGGTGAGCAGTGGGGTGTGCGGGCTGACACCGTGCCGGCATGGCCAGCTGCTGTCTGTGCCCTGCTCTCCAGAAAGGCTCCGTGCAAGGCCAGTGAGTCCCAGTGTCCCCCCCATCCCCAGACCCCTGGGAGGGGTTTCTGGGGTTAGCTGGGGCCCATTTATTCCCATCATCTCCCATGCTTTGCAGCCTCCTGGTAGAAGCTGCGTTTCTCCCGTTCCCAGGACCCAAGGCACAGCGTCACTGCTGCCACCCCTCGTTCCTCCCCTGACACGTCCCCAGGTGAGGGTGCTGAGCCCTGAGGTGCTGTTCTGACCCTGCTGCCCACCCCAGCCCTGCCTGCAGTGCCCTCGCCGTGCACGGCCCCGCTGCCTCTCACCTGGCCCACTCCTTCAGGGCGCTCACCGAGAGCATCTCGCCCCTGCGCAGCTGCACCACGGCGCTCACCCGCTGGCCCCAGACCATGTCTGGGGGCCCGATCACAGCCACGTCTGCAGAGAGAGCACAGGACTCGAGGTGAGGAGCACGAGCAGGTCCTGGGGGCTGTGGGGGGCTCAGAACCACGGTGTGCTGGAGGAGCAGTGTGTGGAGGAGGATGGCACGGGATGCTGCGGCAGGAAAACACCAGGGACCCCTCTGCTGCTGCCATTTCCAGGAGCAGAGCTTTGCCCCACGGAAAGGCAAGCCCCATAGAAAGGTAAGAAGCCCCACGGAAAGGCAGGAAGCCCAAGGGTTGGAGTGATTTGGAGTCAGCAGGGGGATGCGATGCACACAGCAGTGTCGAGCCAGGGGCACCGCTTCCATCCCCTCGCGCAGGGTCAGGCACAAGGTCAGCACAGATTTAATTACAGCCTCATTTCCAACCTCAGATGAGAGCTGCTGCTGACTTGGCACCCAGCGGTGAGCTCCATGGCTTCAGCCCCGAGAGATGACTGGTGGCAGGTTTCAAATCCCGCCTGCTCCTCGCCCAGACATGGGACTAATGATGGGAAGGCAGGGCAGCAGCCTCGGGGCATGAGCCCTGGGGTGGCCCCGTGCCAGCACCTCGGGGCCAGGACCCCACACAGCCCCGTGCTCCTCATGGGGCTCAGCCCCGGGACCGTCCCACGGGGCCCCCACACGTACCTGTGATGTGCGGGTGCGCGAGCAGCTGCCGCTCCACCTCCAGAGCGCTGATTTTGAACCCTCCGTTTTTGATGATGTCCACCGAGGTGCGGCCCTTGATCCAGTACACGCCGTCCTGGTAGGCTGCCGTGTCCCCTGGGAAACAAAGGGGGGGCTGTGTTAGGGCCGTGCCACCACCTGCCCCTGTTTCTGTCACCCCCCCCAATCCCGCACCCCAGGCTCAGATGGTGGCACCGTGCGCAGGAATCACGCTCAGCATCTGCACAGCCCCCCGGGGTGGGTGCCAGCCTTCCCACCCAACAGCCTGCACCCGGGGATGCACAGAGGGGAGCGGGCATTACTTTTTTTTTGCTGGGGGAAAGGGAAGAATAAGGTTGTGCAGCCACAAATCCTTTAAGATGGAAGCAAAAAAGGAGCCACCACTGCAGGCGGACACGCGTCCCAGTGCGCACAGCAGCAGGACCAGACTGTCCCCAGCTCTTGCCCGGCTGTTGGTGACACAAAATAGGGTGGGGGACGGTGTCAGGAAGAAGAGAGGGCCCAAAGTGAGACTTTGTCCTTCCTGCGGGGCGGGAGGCGGGGGAGAAGGCGCGTGGCAGGTGTGCTCCGGTAATTAGCCGCTCGCGCCGAGGCTGGGAAGATTGAGGAGAGAGGTCATGTCAGCACAACCTGGCTAAATGCTTAACAAGCTGTTGCACTTTGATAGCTACTTAAGATGATTACTCACATCCTGCTAATAGAGCCTTTGCCAACCGGGGGGTGGGGGGGGGCTCGGGACCTCGCATTTCAATTTCAGAGCCTTGATGGCAGCAGCCAGGGGGGGTCCCTCGGCAATAACCCATGCAGCCTGCGTGCCCTGATGACATGCACCACCTCTGTGGCCATGCACCCGGCTCCCTTCTGCAGCTTTGGATGCTGCTGGCTGGGGCGTGCAGGCACGGCGACAGGCTCTGGCAGTGGGAAAAGAGCTCCCAGCAAAGGGTCTGTGGGCACCACAGGGGCTGCCGCGCTCACCCCGGAGCTGTGGGTGCTGCGGGGGGCACCGAGCCTGAAGGACCCCCTGAGCCTCTGGTTGGGGTGCAGGCTGTGCAGGGAGCACGCCAGATCACTGGGTGGGCTCCGGGGTGGTCGAGACCTGGGGACTTTGTTGGGTAGCCCAGGGAAAAGCCTCCCCAATGCCTCCTGCTTCCTGAGCCCTGCGTGCTCCCCAGTTCCCCTCTCTCAGAGATGAGGTCCCCTCTCCTCTGGGGCCTCACGGGTGTCACCCCGCAGGTGATGCAGGTGCCCGCTGGCTGTGCAGCTTTACAAATCCGCCTCCCAGCTCGCCTCTGACACTCCACAAGGACTGCACGTGGTGCACGCAGAGGCAGCGAACGCTTGGAGATTCGCAGGTGGCAGGGCAATGAAAAATCACAATCAGTTCTGAAATTTGGGCCCTTCCCCAAAAGTCGTGTCCCCGTTCAGCTGGCACATGCCAACTGCCGAGCAGCTCCTCTCGCTCAGGTCAGCCAGGAAATGATTAATTGTTCGTGTAGTCGCCTGCCTTCCTCTTGGCACTCACGCGGCCGTGGATGTTGGGAGCTGTCTGGAATATTTTAAAGTTGTGGGAGAGTTCGAAACCAGGACTCTCTGGGTATTTGGCTGCTTGGGGTTGAAAGGAATTCATGACTGCCGTGATAAACTGCCCTCTGTGTCCGGTATCACTGTGGCATGTGTGACTGACACAGGGCTGGAGAGAGAGCATTAATTAAAACGTGGCACGGGGGGGACTGGGGAGCCACGAGCTTTCAGCAGCGAGCTCGGGAGCTGCTTATGCATGCAGAGGAGACAGGGAGAGGAGAGGGAATTCAGCGCTGGTTCAATGACATACAGTGCCCGTGCTGCTCTTCAATATTTAAGCACACCAAAGCTGCCACATTTGCATTTTTCTCCGATGTCAGGATGGGGAGAACGGCCCAAGCAGCGGGCTGGGCGCACGGGCGGTGGAGGTGTCCCCACACCAACCGCTGTGGCTACCCGGGTGGCTCACTCCCCCACCTTTCCTTACACCCAAATCCACGGCTGCACGCCCTTGAGGGGGTGGTCTGTAGGTGAGGTGTCAGCCACGGCTGATTTCTCTGCTTTTTAAAGCAAGCTGCTGCGGGAGCAGCTCAGGCACCAGGGTGGCAAACATCTGGGGCCTGTGCGTTTCACCGCGGTGGCACCACACAAAGCGGCACGCACGACCCCGCGCACCGCCTGGCTTCAGGCACTATTTCCAGCTCGGGAAGTCTCCGTGTTCTGCTCGCAGCAGAGGGACCCCAGCAGGATGTTGGGGCACGTCAGCACCACAGCAAAACCCCCAAGCTGGCAGCAGCCCGAGCTCCCAGCCCCGCGGACTACCTGTGCCTGCTGTGCCGCGCGAGGCGGGCGCTGTGCCAGGGGTGGCGCAGGAGCAGGCTCGCTGTGCCGGGCGTCGTGCCAGGCTGGCTCAGCTGGGCGGCAGCTGGCTCCGGGCTGGCTGATGCCAGTGTCCCCGCACGGCTGTCCCCTGCTGTCCCTGGCACAAGCACGGGCAGGGGTTGGTGGCAGCTGCCCCCGGAGGTGTGTGCCCTGTGCTAGAGGTGTGCCACTGCCGACTGCAAAATGTGCTCCCTGTGTGCTCCCCGAGCCATCACCACCCCCAAATGTTCACTGTGCAGCGAGGGGAGGTGACAGGTGACAGTCACTTCGGATGGAGCATGGATGGGGGGAGCTCAGCTGGAGAGGAGCCCCCCTTCTCGCTGCTCACCTTGGTCCCTGTGGCCCCCCAAACGTGGATGCCCTCCAGCCCCATCTGCAGCACTCCCAGCCCTCAGCGCACGGCAGGCGCTTTGTATCATTACCATACTCACGGGGAGCTCCTGGATGAGCTCTGTAACCCCCCCGTCTCTCGTTTTCTGTCTCCTCTCTCCTGCCCTCCGAGCGCCAGGGCCCTGCTGTCAGTCCCCGCTCTGACAGGAGGGAGCTGGCTGCGCGTGGCGCCGCAGGGGCCGCCGTCCGCCGAGGACAGCCCCATTACCCTCTGCCCTGCACCATCTGCCACCAGCCGAGCACACCAGGACGGCTCCAGCGCTGCGCAGCCGGAGCGACAGAGCTTCCAGGCCAGCAGGGACCTCCCGTGCCAGCCAGACTGGTTAAAAGGATGCTGCTGTTTGCTTAATGGCTCTCCCCCACGTGCTGCCTCTGAACGGGGTGAAGAGAAGCGTTTCCAAGCCTGATGCTGCTCCAAAGTGCCGTGGCAGGAGCTGCTCGCTCCCCCCGGGTGTCTCTGTGCCCGACGTGCCCAGCCCCTGCTGCCAGCATCGTGCTCTGTCCCCACGGCTCCCCGTGTTATTCTGCTCCATTATGCAGGCTCCTGGCTCTGCGGGGCTGCAGCTTGCTGCTTCTCACCCTGCAGCCTCCAGGCGTGTGTGGGTACCTCCTCCTGGGCTGGTAGGGGACACCGGAGGGGACGGGGCAGCGTTTCTGAGCGCAGGATGGAGCTCTCCTGCCGTGAGATGACACCGCCTTCCAAACCACCTTTCTTCTGACCCCGCTTTCCAGCTGGCTGTGCCTGTGGCTCCCAGCACGGGGACACGAGGGGTGCATTGATGTGGTTGATAGAACACTGGGCTCAACCACAGTCCTGCTCCTGAGCCACCCGTCACCTCTGCGCCCATGTGGCTGAACTGCTCCCAAATCCTCTCCTTTCTCCCCAGCCCCGCACAGGGATCACCCCGAGCAGCACCCAAACGTCCCCATGCCCAGAACCACCCCCCCAGCAGGGACACAGCAGCAGCCAACTGCACGGGGAAGGAGCTTTTGGGTGACAAGAAGGCTGCAGCCTGTGACACCGCCACGTCTCCACCTCTGCTCCCCCAGGGACACCTCCACCAGGCCCCTTCCACCCAACAAAGCAGCAGCAGGAGCCTCTGTGCGCCACACAGCGCCAGCACCCAGGCACAGCTGATGCTGGCGAGGCCACGGGATTATTGTTTCCCTGACAGCAGCCGTCACTGCTACCTTTGGATGCGTTTCAAGACGCTCAGCGGGCATCTGTTCCGCGAGATGTTAAAGGCTGTGCCGAGCTGCATGCTGAGGAGGCTCCTGCACCAGTTGAGCCGTGGTGGGTGCCGTGGCGGGGCGGTCAGAGGGTGCTGTGTGTCACAGGCTGCAGGGCTGGGAGCCACCAGGAGGGACGTGCCCGCTGGCACGCTCAGGAGCCAGCTGTGGACATCCCCCCCAGCCCACAGCCTGCGCTGTGACCACCTCGCACCAGCACGGCTCAGCCCCTGGGGGCCACGATCCGGCACAAACCACGCCACTGGTGCTGAGAGGCCTTTCCCAGACTGCCTTTGTCTTAAAAATGAGGCTTTTGGGTAAAGCATTTCTATTTATAGGGAAGGGCTGGCTACAGAGAGTCACTTGGAAATGTTCCTGCTCTTCAGATGCGTGCCTTGCCCAGGCAAACTCTCCGAAGCTGCAATGAGGACCCTATTTCCCAACCCCAGCCCCAGAGATTTCTGCAGCGTTCCTTCAAGTTGCAAAATCCTTGTTGCAAAGACCAAAGAGCCCTTGTGGCCCTGCCAGCACCGTCCCTACAGCCTTCGGTCTGCTCACCTCCTCCTCCTCAGAGCGGAGAGGTCTCAGTGGCTGACCCGGAGCCCGGGCAGCCTCCCCAGGACACGCTGAACAAAAGCTTTTTGCTCCAAGGAGAGGAGCTAGAGCAGCAAACGCTCCCCAGAGTTTCTGTGCTAACACCTTGGCACGCCGGTCAGCTTGTTCCTGGCAAACACTGCACCGCTTCTACATCAAAGGTGTCCAGAACAAACATTTGAACTAACTATTGACCAGGAGAACGCTCGGAGCAATGAAACACTTAGCGACCTGGAGGAGTTCTGAGAGCAGGAATGCACAGAAAAAAAAAAAAATGAGAGCCTTCAGGTTAACACAGAGGACGGCGATTTTAGCCCATGCTGGATGCAGAGCCAGGACTGTGCTGGGAAAAAAAATGATGCTGAGGCACAGGCACTGGAGAACAGCGGTGGCATTGCCCTCGTAAGGGGTCAGGCTCCGGAGAGGAGAGGTGCTTGGCAGATCTCAGCCCTGGGGACAGGAGAGTGAGCCACCAGGGCGCTGGTCACCAGGGTGAGGAGGGTCTGTGACGCCCCTGCCCCTCCTGCTCGCCGTGCCGTGGCGCTTTGCAGATCAAGGGCAGCCCTCTGTAACCCATCAGGAAACAGCAAAAGGTTTTGAAAGGGAATTTATTTTCCCGAGGAACCAGAAGTGGGTTATTTCACCCTCCTGCCACGGGGAGCTGCAGAGCCTTGATCAGCTGCCACCGAGCGTCCCCCTGCGTGGGGCGCAGCCCTCGCCCCGAGCAAATTGTGCTCCACGGGCCTCCTCCTCCCACCCCACGGTACCTGCTAAGTGATTTGCTCCTGGTGGAAGGTGCCTGCTGACCCAGCAGGTCGGAGCTGCTTGTTTAACAGTTTCCTGGCTGCCGGAGTGGCTCCTCCAGCATTCAGAAGTGGCTGCACGCAGACGGCAGCGTGGAGAGCCCGGGAGGAAAGCAACGCCTGCAGGACCCCGGGGGTGTGGGAGGGGGCTGGCAGGCTCTTCCCTGCCAGCAGGAGAGCGGGGTTTGAGCACTTTCTAATATTAATTAGACCTTTTCCTGTTAAGGAACCATGGCAGGTTTTGCAAATTAGCCTCGCCTTGCTGACACTTGGTGAAGAGCCCGGGCTGGTGCTCCTCGGAGAGCCAGGCTGGAGCGCGGGGACTTCCCAAAGCCACTTTCCATGAGCCACAGACCTGCAGAGACACAGAAGGGACGGGGACAGCCCCCACACAGTGCCCCTGGATGGGGTGGGATTGGGACACCCCGCTGCTCGGGGCGAGGAGTTTGCTGGGCTGGTGGCAGGGCTGCTCCTGCCCGAGGGCTGCCCTGCACAGCCGGGCTCACCCACACCCGCTCTTCAAGGAGCCTTTCAGCCTTTTTTTTCCAAACCGAGGGAGGAATCCCCTGCCTCTCCTGCACAGCAACTCCTGATCCTGAGAGAGGAAGGGCAGACGGAGGCACTCTGCCCCCTGCATCCCCCTGCACAGCCCCGTGCCTGCAGAGCCGCCGTGCCACAGGGATGGGCAGGGGCCCGGCTGCAGCCCCTTGGGAAGCTTGTGTCGAGGCAGGCAGAATAAGCAGTCTTTGCCCTTCTCTGGTGCCTTTCAGCCGAGGCTAATTAGGCAGAAACAGCACAGCTGGCAGGACAGCGGCGGGATGGGGGGAGCAGCCCTGCTCCTGCACTGCTCAGGGTTGTGCATCGGCTCTGCTCTGCCTCGGAGTATCTCCCGTGTGCCTCTCCCTCCCCAGAATGGCTGTCGATGCTCCTGGTGCATCCCAGGCCAAGGCAGAGCTCACTCTCTGGCAGCCATACATCAGTGCTTAACCCGAGGATTTATTTTCCAGGCAGCGAAGAGCCCGAGCTCTAATCCTGACACCCTCATCGGTTTGGAGAGCAGAGCAAAACCTGTGGGCTCACATCCCCTTGGCCTGAGCCGTGCTTTGCAGGCAGGCAGCACGGAGCTCTGCCCCAGGGCAGGACTTTGAGGTCCATGCGTTCCTCATGGACAAGCATTTCTTTTCTCAGGTTTCAGGTTTCCCTGCTCTTCCCAGGGCAGCTCAGCGTCTCCCAAATTCACACAAAATGTTTATGTAGGTAAGGAAGCTGCAGAGCACGCAGGTGACACCCCCTACCCTTTGTGCCGTGCGCCAAGGAGAGGCAGGAGGGATCCTTCCAGCCCTGCCGGCACGAGCAGCCTGCACAGCTCCAGCCCCAAATGCTCCGAGAAATGGTGGCTTCCCTCTGCTGCAGGCTTCCCGTGGTTGGGAGAAGCCGTGGGAGGAGATACGGGGTGGACAAACACGTAGGAGAGTGCTGAAGGACATCTCTAGGCATTAGACAACCCGTCCTCCCTGCAGCGAAGTGCCCACCTTGAGGGACGGGGGGGAGGCTGCACGAGGACACAAACCCTTCCCTCCCCTGCACACAGTGAAAACTGCATCAATAGATCCCCCATCTGCTCACATACATCACACACTTCACTCCAGTTTATTAGCTGGAATAAATCATAAATATTTCATTATACATCAACGACGCTCGACTCCGGGAAGGCGCAATCCATCACCTCGACACTCCTTGCGACCTGCCGCCATGCAATAAGCTTTCCAGTCTATTAAACAAGATTGATACAGTGTGCTGGGATGGACTAGGGGAATTTATTTATGGAGTGCTGGGAGAGGGAGGGCACCGAGCGTCTGGTGCCGCACGGACAAGCAGGAACCGCTGCCATTAGCCGCTTGGACCTGGGAAAGGGTGGGGAGCCGAAAATCTCCCCCCTAAAATCTCTACTCAGCACCACCACGTCATCAGCATGGTGAGAAGGGCAGTTCCTGCTTTTCTGTGGTGGTGCATGGGTTTTTCAGTGTTACAAGGGCTGTGTGTGCCCAGAAATACTTCCTGTAGTGCCAGGGTTTTGCTGCTCTGTGTGGCCTCTGGCTCCTTTTAATGCCACCCCTTCTCCTTTACTTCTATGTGAAAATGAGATGTTTTCATCTCATTTTCAGAGAGATGAAGGCAGAGAGATGAGGCAGAGCAAAGAGCAACCAGGAGCAAGCCCCTCTTGGCCTCAAATACAACCCGAACACAACCAAACCTTCCCTTCCCTACGTGCTGCTGCTGTTTCCATGCCGGAGCTCACCAAAAGCCCAGCACCAGCCCTGCAGAAACCTTCCCTGATACACACCTTGCGTGCAGCTTCAGGTCAGCCCCCACTTTGGGGACTTCTGGGGACTCAATCCGATCTACCTGGTGGAGATCTCCCCTCTCTGAGCCTCACCTGCCCTGGGGAGCAGCAGCAGCAGCCGTGCCCACGAGGCCGTGGCAGAGGCTGACGGATGCTCGGCACGGCGCTGCCTCGACGCGCGGCGAATCCCCAGCCCCTCGGCGGCACGCCACGCTGCTGGGATTGATCGGAGGCAGCCTTCCTCCTGAGGGGGATTGACACAGCCTCGGCAACGATGATGTATGCGCACGTATCTATTTAATGAAATGCTAAATGATAGGCTAAATAACGGAGGCAACTTGAGCGTGATTTATTGCGGGGGAATGGATAACGTTTGTCACTGCTGACAGCCATCTTGGCTAGGAGCAGGCTGCTCCCGAGGTCACGAGCGCAAATCGTAGCTAATTAACAGCAATTAGCACTCCTGAAATTCTGGATTTTGGCCCGGTTTGCCTGCTGAGCAGCAGTGCGTGTCCTGTCTCACGCAGGTATCGGCCCTGGGCGCAGAGGGCTCTCCGCGGACAGCCCTTACACCCGCTGGGCCAGCAGGCATGTACAGAGCCCTGCAGCACCCTGCCCTTCAACAATGTGGAGCAGAACTGCCAAAAGATCAGCAACCGCAGCTATAGAGGCCCCAGAGAAGAACTGGAGGATCGAGATAAAGCACCCCAAAAGCCAAGCAAAGAGAAGCCAAACCACCAAAGCCAACCACAACCAACACCCACCCCTACTCTCACCGTTGTTTCCTTAGCTCCTTGGACACTCTCTTGAGCTATAAGAGGCCTCCAAAAGTTCCTGTTCAGCCTGATCCCGTGTGCGAAGCTCAAATCTCTCACTTCTGCTTTTTGCACACATTTTCCACCCCGCGCGGAGCTGCCGAGTTCCCGGGGAGCGGCTCGCCGCAGCTGCGGGTGGCTGTGCGGAGCTGGCCGAGCCCATTTATCCTCAGCCATTTGCTTCAACTGGTGAAACGCCTTCCCCGTGACCAAAAATAAATGAGCTGCCTCTGCACGAGGACTTGGCGAGCTCCAAGGCACCGCTTTTGCCTCGGTGTACCGAGGGCAGCGCTGGGTTTGCGCCGCCGTCATTAATAAAGCATCAAATCAGCCGGGAGGGCACGGGAGGAAGACAGAGATGAAGAGGGAGAGTTTGAAACTTCTTTAAAAAACGAATGCATTTTAACAAAGCACCAATTATTCATGAGGAAGCCGTCTCCCCTCCCCAGCACCTCCCAGGGCTCCAGTTTGCCTGGGTGCTGCCTTGGCGAGGCACGAAGCCGCTGCACCGGGAGCAGGTTTCCGCAGGGAGCAGTGCCGGCACCGCGCTCCTCCGACCACAAACCCTGGGGGTGGCACAAAATCTGCAGTCAGGAGCAGCGTCTCTGCTGGCACCGGCAGCCCTGACAGCCTCAGCGTGCTGGCTGGCAGCAGCCCTACCTATTTACCATCCTTTTCGCTGCCAAAAACCTCCGGCGGACCCGCAGAGCGGAAGAAAGGAGGGCAGAGCAGCAGCTGCAGCCCGGAGATACGTTTCTGTGGTTGAGAGCAGGAGAAGCAGATTTCAGGAGCTGGCTGCTCCACTGCAGGTCCTGACCGTAGGTACACGGTGTCGGGGAGCCCCAGCACTGGTGCTTTGGACACCTCCTTCATGGATCTCCTTGCAAAACCCATCCCAGAGCCTCCTCCAGGTCCAGAGCAATTCCTGAAGCTCTGCTTCACCCCCCTGAAGGCTTCACCCTCTGCTCGGAGGAGCTGCCCCAAGGGGTCTGGATGGAGACTCCTTTTCCAGAGGTGGCTTTCACACTCCCCAAGCTCAGCCCAGCACCAGGAGGATCTGGCCGGGTGATGGTGGGAGCCCTGGCGCAAGGGGCAGACATCCAAGGTTGTCCTTAAACCCGGAGCACGGTGCAGGCTGCTCACAGCCTCCCCCCGAAGCAATATCTGAGAGTAAGAGGTGGCTGTCACGCTTTGCAGGCCACTGTCCGCCGAGGCAGAGCGAGATTTCGATGCTGCTACAGCTTTGTACCTGCATGAAATCTGGAGGTAATTTAATGGCTCACAAGAAAGGAAATAAATCTATTAGAACGGAATCGCTGTTTGTTTACGTATCTTGCCATGAACATCACCACGAGCAGCAGCAGCAGCAGGTGGATGTGCAAGCACCATTTATTTACATAATAAAATTGCCAAGTAGATTTGTAGCTCAGGGGCATCCTTGCCTCTCCGTGCACGCGCCTACCTCCCATTAGCACTAATGGCAGCCGCTGTGTGCTCAGCAAGCCGAGCACAGACCCTCCGACTGCCCTACCGGCTCGTTCGAAGAGATGTAAGGCTGCAGACGCCTCGATGTGTGGGCTCCTCTCCCCCTGACTCTGCCAGGTGATGGGAATTGTGCCGCAGCTCGGAGCTGCTTCGCACTCCTCCCCATCTGCGAGAGCTGGCAGGGCCGCTGCCGAGCTGCACGTCCCGGGAGAGGAGAGGTTAAGCAAGCGCTTCCCCGCTCTCAAAACTTCTGCAGAGAGCCCTGGAGCATCCAGCGCTGGGGAAAAAAAAAAAAGAAAACCAGAAAAAAAAAAAAAGAAAAAAAAAGCCTGGAATGAATTCCTGTCATGCTCTGCACAGGGAAGTTTGTTTGTATTCCACACGCAGCAGAGCTGAGCCTGCTGTCAGAGCCACGCTGGGAGAAAGGGCAAAACCCTGCCGAGATGAAAGAATGCGAAGCACTGGTACAGCCTCCCCTGGCATTTACACCTGGAAAAAAAAAATCACTCAAGGGCATCTCACAAAGAGCTGTGCTAATAAGGCACCGCTCGCTGACGTGCTGGGTGGCTGTGCAGCACGAACGGAGCTGTAGCGGTGCAGGGAACACCGGCAGCATCTCCGGGTACCTGGGAGGTAAAAGCTGCAGATAAGACAAATTTGATTTCCAACCAGAAATCCTGAGCCGTGCTCTCCCCCACGCTGCTCCCAGCCAGGGGCAGGGGGAGTCGGGGACCTGCTGTCGGACCGACAAGGAGCGCAGCTACTCCTTGTCTTGGCTGATAAATCAGCGATACCTTCACCTCTTGGCTGGGTTTTTAAAGGCTTCCTGAGCTTAATGCATCTCCCCGGCAGCAGGGCGAGAAGCCAGGATGATGCTCAGTGACCCTGTCAGGGTACCCTCGTACATCTCAGCTCCTTCGCCGTCCTGAAGCCCATTCACTGCCAGTTACCCCTTGTGCCGTGCCCTACAGCCCCAACCCAACTGCAGGTAGCGTGCCTTGTGCCGTCGTGCAGATCTGCCTCTGCTCACCTGGGGACTTTTCTCCTGGAGCACCTGATTGATTAGAGCACCCTGCTCGGCACAGGAGAGAAAGAAAGACAAAGGAGAAGAAAGGAAGACAATATTTGCAGGCAGGGGTGGACTGACCTGCGGTGTCACCGAGTCCTGTGGCACCACGCCTCCACAGGATTCACCCCACGGGTGCATTTTCTGGTAACTCTATTTTGAAAGAGCAGATGTTCCGAGGAGAAAAAAAGCACAGGAAAGATGCAGGTCAATTTTTATCCACTTTGAGTGAAAATCGGCTCTAAGCCCAGCTGTGGGAGTGCGCCAAGGGAGTTGTGGTGGACATACAAGGGGGACTCCGGGTTGTGCACCCAAGCTGCGAAGCCTCGGGCTGTGCACTGAGAAGTCGAGGCTGTAGGAGGGTTGCTGATGGCTCTCACCAAAAATGCTCCTCACACCCACGCTGACCACAGTGGGCAGGGGATGGGCGCAGCACACAGCATGCACCATCCTTCTTTGTGCCCTGCAGTGCTCACCCGCTCCCAGCACCACCTCGTGTTTGCTGACGGACTCAGGGGACCCTTGGTAAACTCGCCAGGCTCATCTGAAGCTGGCAGCTCTCTAAAACCCACAGATGAATAGACCCAGCAGCTTCAGCTTCAGCTGCAGACATGCTAATGGAGCTTGGAAAGCATCACCCACTGCGCCTCCTCCAAATTCAAAACCCTCTCCCCCCCCCATTGAGATGGGCACCCCGGCGGCTCCAAATGGCCAGCGGGCTTTGGCCGGGGAACACAAAGGCCCATCTCCAGACTGTTGTTTTGGGGCCTCGGGGACTGCTGCATATGGTCCCCTTTCCAGCCTTGGGCTGGCATCCGACCTCGTTACCCGACATATGCCAGCAGACAAAGTCCTGGGCACCAGCTTTCGGCAGGGAGAGGAGAGCACCGAAAGGATTAGCAGGAAAGCCAGAGCTCAGCGGGGTCTGGTGGCCTTCTGAGGCCCATCTGCCCCTTCTCATTTCGGGGCCTTCCATGTCTGACTGCCTCAAATAAGGGGAACAGTTTTGGGAGGGTTTTGGGGCTGGGACCAGGATGGGTGCACACAAACACGGTGCTGCCTTAGCTCCTGAGCGCACGGGAGCCCCAACACACCGATGGGCCTCACTGAGACACCCACGATGGTCCCAGTTTTGGGTGGTGGGACATTTCTGGTGCTTGGACCTACTGAAGGGACTTGTCCACGCTGCCCAGCTCCATCAGCTGGTCCCCAAAGACCTCACTGCTTGTTCTCTCCACCCCACTGTGGCTCTCGCACCGCCAGCACCAGACCGCGGCTGCACGCCCTGCTCGGAGGGCACCACATCTCCGGGACAGAAATCAGCAGATAAAACAGCCAAACCTCTGAATGCTCCCGCAAGCCAGACAGCCAAGACTTTGTAGGTTCACTCGTCATTAGCAGGAACTCATGGGTGACTGATATGACACAAGTAGGCTGGGCGGAGGGAGAGCCCCCCCGCTGCTTACAGCCAGAATTACTGCAGATGGGTTTGCCCAGAGGACAAGCCAGAAAAGAAAATGGGTAAGTAAAAATGAAAAACGTTTTTTTTTTTTTCGCATTAGCATTTAAATATTTATAGAAATCCCTGCAGACAACAAGATGAAAAAGAAAACTCAAAGAGTAATAAATAAGTAAGTGCTCCAAGGTGTGGCAGCCCCGCTGAACGCGGCTGCCACTCAGCTGGTGGAACTTTGAAGAGCACGGCAGCCATGCGTGCATGGCTAAAAATAATAATTGTAATAATAAAAACCTTAGACCAAACCCCTTTGCTTTGGCTTCTGCCCTCTCCAGAACAGCTGAGGGATCAATTACACCTCAGCCAAAGACAGTGCTACCTCTTCTTTTCAGCGCGGTGACCCGTCCCAGTCTCTCATGAGACGAATTATTAAATAAAGCGGAGATAACGATGGGAGGATGTTGACTAAGAGAGGCAGCGGTGGGATACGGGGAAGGATATCTGCCTTAAATTGTTTGCTTAACTATCCTGGAGCCCACACTTTTGCTTACAGCATAAGACCATTAGTCGTAAGTAAATATGCTCTCAGTCGTCTCGAGCGAAACCCACAGGGATGACTTGTGGAAAGGAAAGAGCCTGGAGCGATCACGTCCTAGGATGCTCTGTCCCGGCTAACAGAGAGGGTACAGAGCAGCAGGAGCCAGAGATGCTCTAAGAAAAGATGCTCAGCCCTTCTTCAAGCGTTACGGCCAGCCTGAAGTACAAACACCGACAAAAAACGTCACCATTTAGCAGAACCTGGGCTTGGGTCATGCTGAAAATGTTCTGTAAATCCACCCCCTCGGTCAGCTCTGCAGACAGCCCGGCAGCGTTCACCCTTCGTGCTGAAGGACTTCCCAAAGCCCTGTGGTCACGGCTCGCTGTGACAGTGCAGACACAACAAACCCTCCTCTCCCTGCGCCCGGTGCCCGAACCACGAGCACGGATCCAGTGAAAATCCCTGGGGCCCCGTTCCAGCCACGCTCGAGACGAGAGGGGTTTTGACACCGCCTGTAATAGGACCACGTCCCGACCTCTGCTTGGGGATCTCGCTCAGATGCTTTGACGCTGACCTTTCCCTACGGGGTTTTTAATTCGCCCCGGAGGAGACACGCTATTTATCCAGCAGTAAGTAGCCACTCCAACAAAAGCTTTGCCAGTGATCCAGGAGGGGCTGCCAAGTACCACGAGGAAGATGATGGTTCAGCCCATTTCTTCCCCACATCCTGAGCTCTCTCCTGCAGTCCTCTTGCTGTTCCTGCTGTTCCCACCGCCTTTCAGGTGGGGTGCAATCGCTCCGTGCCACTGGAAATCGGACTCGGTGCACTGGAGGGTCTCGAAAAAGCGCATGGTTGGCATCCACGATGTTTGATAAAACCAGAGCAGGGCTTTGTAGGAGAGTAAACAAATTCTGTGCCAAAAGCTGCTCCCATTTACAGCTACAAAAACCCAAAGTCACTCCCAGCTGCTGAAAACATCGGTCTTGCAAGCAGTCACGGAATTACACGGGCTGCATTTCACTGTGTTCGAACGATGCTTTGACTTCCAACCATCAGACAAAACCGACAACGTTGTCTCCTTATTGCTCGAGATGAAGGAATAAACATCTTTATGCTTTTACTTATAGAAACATCTTTTAAATGAGGACTGGGTGGATGTGATCCCACCTCGCTGCTGGCCTGACTTCACTGGGCAGCACGAGGCTATCCCGTGGGTGCCTGCAGCCTCTGGCCCCATCCCGTGCAGACCCAGGGGGATATCCTAAATCAGCACAGAGAGATGTGTTTGGGGTAGGTTTGGGATTTTTTTTTGGGTGTCCTTTCATGTCCCTTCATTTGTGGGTCCATCACTGAAAAGAGGAGATGGAGCCTCGCACGCCTGACTCACGGGCTTAAACTACAGCACGGCTTAAAAAGAAGCTCCTTAAACCCAGCCTGAGAGGGAGCCAGAGCTTCATCCGATGGGCTCACCCAACTGATAAGTCACATCATCTGCAGCACATTATAATTAAGGCCTCGTTTTTTTTAAAAATAGAATTTGCATTAACTGAATTTATGACTAGGAGAGACACTGCAAACAAACAGAAAACCTGCAGATTAGGATGCTAATGAGATGCGTTTCTATTTATAACCTGCCTTGATCAGGCTAAAGTATTTCTGTTTCAGGTGGCAGTGCTACTCCCACAAATGTAAGCAATTCCCTTGGCAGGGAAACACCTGCTTGTCTCTGGAGACAGGCAAGTGCCAGGTACAAAAGTCGGTGCCAGAGGGACGGGGTGGGAGCTGCTGGCTGCAGCCTGAGGGCAGGAATGGGTCTGGCCATCAGCTGCCCAAGGGGTTTCCTAAAAACACCAAATTTCTTTGGGCGTTCCCCTCTGCCCATGGGGAGCTCAGCCTGAAGGCAGACACCAGCAGGTCCCTGCAGCCAGCCCGAGAGCCGCTGGGCTTCTTCACCTGCTTTGAGGGCTTTTTTTTTTTTTTTTTTTCCCTAGATCTCCCTCTTTCGCTGCAGAAATCCAGAAGGAATAAAGATATAGAAATAAAGGACTACCCTGCTCTTCAGCCTTCGACAGTGCCATGTGGGAAGTCTTTGGGGCAGTAGGAATTCTGGTTAATGTGAGCCCGGAGGTTTCGTGACCTGCACAAGGGGATCTAGCCCAAATTCGGTGATAAAACAGGACTCAGCAATGGGAAAAACAGCCACAAAGTTGTTTTTTTTTTAAAATGCGGCTTAAAGAAAGAAACTTAAAAGATATGAGTCATCATTTCGAAGTGTGCATCAAACAAGTTAAATAACTCTTACTTTCTTAACGACATATTAATCAAAGTGCATTGATTCCTGAATCAGATGCTGCGACCAACAAGCTTTCTATCTTCTCCATCCTGATGCATGCATTAAGAGAGTTTTACTCTGACAGATACAATATAGCAATCAATAAAATCTTATTATATGGGGCTGAGACACATGGATTTGTTGCAGGATTTATGCACTGCTTTCAAGCCTGGTGCTATTTCATGTCTCAGCCTTAACCTGTAATTGAAAATAAATCTCCCTGAATACACCAGATTCTAATTTTCTGGATGTATGGGCAAACGTGAATGGAAGCTGGCCTTCCCTGGGGGAGCAGGCTGCTCTCTGATCCTCTTGTTCCCCGCTGAGCACAGCACCGTGCTGCCAGATTCCTCTGCAGGCAATGCTCGGGCACATCCCTCAGGCTCCTAAATCCTCCATCCCCTTGCTCACGGCTACAAGCAGCTCGTTGCCTCCTGGGCAGGAAAAACTCAAAACCTGCCAGCTCCAGAGCCTGGCAATATGATGGGACAGAAGGACAAAGATTGGGGATTGGGATGACCGCGGTGCTGGGAGCTGGTGTTTGTCTGCTGCCGTCCTCCAGCTCCCGGGGTGTGCCCGGTGATGCCTCAAGGGCACACAGGTTTGCTCTGAGATCTCCTCCTGCCTCGCAGGACAGCTGCAAAGGGGTCTCAGCACAGCAGACAGACGGCTGCAGGCGTTTCTCCTCCGGGTCTGCCTCACCCTGGGTGCTGCGGAGATGCACGACAGCAGGTGGATGCCCAGCAGTCTCCCTGGAAATGGCCGGAGGGGACTTTGATCCAAGCAGCTCTGTCGACAGCGTTAATACAATAAAAATAATCAAATTCACTCGGATGGAAATGAGAGCCACGGAGAGAGAGGCAGACGACGGTGCGAACCCAAGGAAATAAAGGGGAAGGGAGCAACGGTAAATCAGCGATGCCACACCAGGAGCTCGGGTGCTTCTCAGAAGAGCTGAGATCTTGAATTCATCAAAAGGTCACGGCAGCATCATGCTGCTTTTCTTCCTGTAACACACACACACACATATTTGGTCCTCCTCCAACTGCAGGCACGGAGTAGGCACATTTGCAAAGGGATCTGCACAGGCTCCCTGCTCGAGGCGCACGTGGCGTTTTCCTCTGGTCCCCAGGGGAGGAAACAGGTCTGCAGTTGTTGCTCCGAGCTCCTCGTCTCTCCCAAATTTCCCCAGAAGCAGAGCAGGGTGTGAGTGCTGGTGGCCAGAGCCTGCCCCGTTCATTTTTCCTCCTGTCACAGGGGCAATGGCCATCCCCAGTGCTCAACCTGATGTCGCTTCCTTTGGTAAGACATTTTTCGTGGGAGAAAAAGAGGTTTTAATAAAAGAGCTGTCAATCGAAAAGGAAAATGACTGCTGCCATGCAAGCGTTGGGTCTTTTTTTTATTTTGGTTCATATATTTTCTGAAACAACACTCGATGGCTTGATTTACAGGAACTGCAACCAGAAACAGAACTGGCCTGAGGAAGGTACCGGGAAATAGATGGTGTGCAGCCAGAGAGGACTTAAAAATGAAAGATCCCTTTGTGAGCCTGAAACTGCAGAAAGGCAGCCTGGAAAATGACCTGATGGAACACTTCAGGTGGTTCGCAAGTTTTGAGCATGACCTGTCACTGCGGGAGCACGCCTGGAAGGGGAGGAAGAGGCGATGGGGGAGGCAGGGAACGAGCTCTGGTGACAAATTCTTGGCTCTGTGTGTGTGCAAGCTCTGAGTGGAGGTGCCCAGGTGGAGCCCCAGGGTGCTGACCCTCAGGACAAGCAGTAATACGTGCCCCACGTGTGGCCCTGGACCTTCCCAGATGCTGGGCACCCTGCCCTCGTGCCCCGTCCCCGCGCGGTGCCACAGCAGCCAGCAGCCTTTCTGGTGGCACAGACACCACGAGGCGCAACACGAGCAGTGCTCGTGGTTCCCTTGCGGTAATTACTCTTCGTTTGCTGACCCGCTGCTTTTTCGGAGTGCCATTAGCAATCAGCAGAGTGCTGAATTCCAGCTGGGGAGTTACCCACGCTGCCTCCAAGTTCGCTCTCTCCAAATCTGGTTCCTGGTGCTGAGCGCGCACCTCTCTGTCCTTGGGGAGCGCAGGGGACCTGCACCCTGCCAGCTTGGTCTCCTCTCCAAAATTAACCACCTGAAGGCTGCCAGCAGGGCTGGGGGCAGGCAGGGCGAGCTGGCGGGTCTCTCTCAGCACCACCAGCCTTTTTTTCTTGGAATAAAACAGCCCTGATGGCCTGGCAGTGAGGAAAGATGGAGCAAGCAGTCAGGAGAGGGGGGAAAAAAAAAGAAAGAAAGGAAAAGAGGGGGAATAGGGTGGGGAAGAGGATGAAGAGGCTGTCCTCCTCCCGAGGCTGCTACCAGGGGTACCAGAAGCTGCCTGCACGGGGGCTGCTGCCTGTGGTGTGTCCTCAGCACCCAGCCCCAGCCCCAGGCGGGTGCCTCCGCTCCCCTCTTTATCCCCAGCCCTGCGTCTCCGCTCGGCGAGCGAAAGGGTTAAGTTTAATTTATACTGATTTCTATTTAATATCATTCTCTCCCCGTAGGAGCCGGCAGCTGTGAGCTGATTGTACTCTCTCATTATGCAGTCTGTATCACTAATGGCCTGTGACAAAGGCATGCCATCTTCCAGGCCTTACCCCCGAGAGCCAATTAAACACACATACTCCCTTCCTGTTTGCAGCGCATTACAATGAAATTAAACTGAATTTCAAAATCATTTTCTCCTAAAGACATCTCTTTGCAATAATTAATGCATGCTATTCCTTTGCAGCTGAAATATTCATCAGGAGCCTTGACTACAAAAATTTTTAGAGCTGATTGCCCCACACCCGGCGCTGTCTGCCCCTGCTCCGGCACCAAACGTGGCCCTGGCACGGGATCGGGACCTGCGGTGACACCCCCGGCAGGGCAGCCCCGTGTCTGGTTCAGAGCAGCCGTGACAATAAATCACAGCGTTGTCACAAATCGTCAATAAATACGATTACAGAGCGGGCATCAGAAATCCACCCCGGTGCCTGGATGGCACCGCTAACGCGGGGTAAAAGGGGAATGGGAATGTCAGGGCTGCTTGTCCGTGAGGGCTAGGAGGACAGCAGGCATCCCACCCTCCTGCACGGCCAAGATTAGGGGACGGTTGGGCTCAGCACCACCAGACAAACGCGTTGAGGGCGTTTATCCCAGCCTCCAAACCGCTCGTGGCCGGTGGCAGAGGTGGCAGGAAGAAGGGTGGCCAGAGATACGAACCGACCGCTCAAACGCTGGGACCAGAGCCTGCAGAGCCATCTCAGGGCACCGCCGTGCTCGCTGTGGGCACAGGGATAATTTATAATTTAATCCGACTCGCAGAGCTGTCCCGGGGGACGGGAACCTCTGCCCGAGGAGGCCAAGCTCTAGCGCTGCGTGCGGCGCGCTGCGCGCAGAGAGGGAGGCGTAGATCGAAGCACATCACTTATTCATGGTCTGTCACGTCTGTTCCGCTCGGGAAAAGCCTTCAGCACAGTATCCTCCTGAATTTGTTATCCCACATTACGGACAGGATCAGCCTCAAGAGTTCCCCTTCGAGGCTTTGCCACCCCAGCCGGGGATGCTGCAGGTAGGGCAGCCGGGGCTACACCCGCTGCCAGCAGAGCTTAAGCATAACAGGATGTTTTTTTTTCTGTTTGCAAACATTAGATAAAATCTAGCAAGGTGTGCCACAATATATATCATTGCTATCTGGATATTATCTTCTGGTGAAATCTGGTGAAATTTGATCTGAAGGAATCGAACACCAGAGGTGTTCCCGTCCCTGGAAACGTTAAATGTCTCAAAACCAGTCCTTATTCCCAGTCCAAAGGGCAAATCCCAGGAACACCCAGGAAAATGAATAAATAAATAGATAGATAAATAAATTAATTAATTAATTACCTTTGCAATTCAGAAACATACCACGTAAAATAAAATGAGCCCCAGATTCAAAACAGAAGGTCTCTATTTGGAAGACGCAAACCTTTCACTCTGAAAAATGTCAGAAGGCGACATCCTGGCAGTTCTGACACCTTCCCAAACTGTTCCCCCGTTGGGGACACTCACCGTGATTCTCGTCCAAAAAAGCTCATTTAAACTGAGCCACACCATGACCTGGTGTCAGGTGCTGAGGCCGCAGGGCTCAAGCCCCCAGGCAAGCGTGGTGCCGCTGCGCTGCGTTTCCAGCAGCAGCCCCGAACATCCCCCATTCCTTGGCTGAATAATTAGGGCCAGTGCACATGAAGAAGCGAGGTGAACCCAGATCCCGTTCTCCAGACCCAGCACAGAAAACCTGCCCTGGTCCGGGCAGAGCACACAGTACCTGTTTTGAACCAGCCGTCGGGCGTGAAAGCATCTTTTGTTTCCCGGGGTCTGTTCCAGTACTCGCGGAACACCGAGGGCCCCCGGACGAGCAGCTCCCCTTCTTGGCCTTCAAAACCTGGAGTCACCTGCAACAAAGCAGGAGGGAATGTGAGGGAATTCCGCCAGGGAAATCAACCCGTGTGGCAGCCCTAAAAATCCCCCATCCCTGCTCGCTGCCCTGGAGCCCAGCGTGGTGCAAGGAGAGGGATCAGCAGGGGATCAGCAGCACGCAGCGTGGTTTGCAACCTCCAGGCTCCCTGTTTGGGGCACGCACCCCATTGGGAGCCCTGTGGCCATCTCAGTGGCAAGACCGTCCCTTCCCGTGGCAATTAGGATGAGAGAAAGCCACAGAGGTTTCATCCTGAAAGGCTCCCACGTCCCAGACAAGGACACGTCCCTGTCCCCGTCCCCGTCCCCCCTCCAGGCGTGTACCCCCAGCCGTGACAGCAGCAAGCAAAGGGTTAGTGGCCGGCTCAGCCTTGGGAGTAGCAGCCACAGGGGACGTGGCCACCAGCTGCAGCACTTGGCCCTTGCAGCAACCTGTGGCCGGGCTGGCAGCGGGGACAACCCCTGCCCTCCCCGGGGGATGCAGCACAAATAGATCCCCTGCTGCACAAACGGGCTGCGGCGTGGCGAGGGGAGGGCAAACCCAGGCAGAGCTCCAAAGCGAAGCCAAAACTGAGCTTCCCAGGGAGCTGCTTCACCAGCCGGGGGGGGGTTTGGCCTCCCCAGCTCTTCTAAAAATACGAAATGGGCTACTACAGGCTCAAAGTCACGGCTTTCCCGCAGCAGCTGGGAGATCGGGTGCTGGTGGTGGCAGCACGAGCGCCTCGTGCCCCTCGCGGCTCAGCACCGTGCTCCTGCAGGCAGGAGGAGGCAGCAGGACGAGGCGCAGCTTCTGCTGTGTTGATAGAAACCTTCGCTTCCCCAACCTGTCAATCTGACACTATTTATTTATTTTTTTTCCCGAGGAGGTGGCAGGAAACACCATCTGATTTGTTCTCCGGGACGCGCGGCATCTTTCGGGCGCACTGCGAGGCGGCGGCTCTGGTGACGGCTCAGCACCCCGCAAACCTGCACGGGGAGGTTTTCTATGGCAACAGGACCGAATCTCCTGCTGTTATGGAAACTGGAGAACCACGGGGAGGTCGCAGACCTGCCTGACATGGCACGGTGTTCCTCCCTCCTGCACGTACGCTGCTCTGCAGTTCCCAGGCTGGGAGACGAGGCTTTAGCGGCGCGGGTGTCGCAGCGCCCGTGGGACCGTGTTAAGCTCAGGTCCTTTGCGGGGAAGATGTGCAGAACCCCGCTGTGAGAGGAGGTCACTGCCAGAGCTGCTGCAGCCCCTCGTGGGGCAGGCACCTAGCGGCAGCTCCCAGCCACTCTGCGCTGGGGTTGCTGCAGCACCGAGGTTCCTCTGGGACCCCGGAGTGAGCGGTGCCAAAAACGCGGCCACGAGGGAAAGCAGTAACAGCAGTGCTGGAACGCCAAGCGGAACCACGGAGCAGGGCAGGCTTTGTATCTCCGCAGTCTTTGATGGGAACAAAGCTTTCCTAACGGAAAATGCTCAGAAAGCTGCTTTTAAGGCACCGTTTGTGCTTTAAGTCACGTCGTCCTGATGTGCTGTCTTGGAGGACGCGGTGACACGGGGCTTTCTGCACCAACAGCCCGGGCACTCCGCAGAGCTGCCACTTCCTTAAATGCCAGGAGCTGGACCAAGCCCCCAGAGTCCTCGCTGGGTTTTATTTCCACCACCTAGGAGATGCTGCGGGATAAAAAGCCCGTTACTGCTGATGAGGGGAGCTCAGCAGAACCACGGCAAGCTGCGGATGGTGCCGGACCGGGGCGCCCCAGGGGACCTTGGAGAGGGAGCCTGAAGACCACACGATGCACGGGCACAGAATCACTTGGGGTCTGGAGAGCCGAGGGCCAAACCTTGGCACCTGCATCGGCAAAGGGGCACGAGGCACAGAGCCTGTGCCCAGGGGGCTTGCAGGAGCCACAGTGGATGGGGCACGCCAGCTGTTTTGCCACGTGGCCCTCCTTTTCCTGCTGGCCTGGCCGTGGCACCACAAACCAAGCAGCTTCCCTGAGCAATTCCATGAGCCCAGTGCCACCGGTTTCAGCTTTTCCCCTTTGGGAAGCACACCTGGGAAGCACTCCCCAGGCCAATCCCACCCCGTGCGCCCTCCAGCAAGCCCCACTGCACCCCACTCGCTGCGCCCCAGCTGGAGAGGACACACTAAAATCCTCCTCACACCGCAGGCACTTTAATCACCAGTGTGAGCTCCAGCACCGGTCCCTGGAGCCCTCAGCCTGCCTCCGGCTCCCCAGAAAGGGCTGGGAAGGGGGGCAGCAGAGGTAAGCACCCACGAGGACCTGCCGACAGCTGCCTCGGATTCCTCCACATGCCCTGCCAGATTTGATGTCTCGCTGAAGGCGAGCAGGGATGTGAACGTGGCCATGCCGAACACCTCCGTGCCCCCAAGGCAGGGCACGGCACCACCACTGCCCCGGGGACCAATCCTGCACGGCGTTTACCTGCACGCCGCCGCTTCTGCTGTGAATCAAACCTTGAACGAGCTCCAAATTCCCTGTCAGATCGACTCGAATTTTGGCAGAGGCTCAACCCACGTCTTATCTAGAGCAGAGCTCCTTGGCAGCAGGCACCTCCCTGTTGTGTAATTTAATGATGTTATGGCTGGCTTGCAAACAGTAAAACAGAAAGGCCGTGACGTTATCTTAATAGGATTTTGCTCGCTGAACTCCGAATGTCACTGGCATTGCTCCCCGGCGTAGCGGAGAGGACACGAACCGCCCCGGTGCCAGCAGCCTGGCTTGCCTGAAAACAGCATCGGTAAAAATTCAGGGTTCGAGGCATTTTTCTGCTACAGCCTCTCGCCTCTGACCCCTGCTAGGACCACGGGTACACCCCCAGCCCGCCGGCTGCATGGCAGGGAAGCGGGCGTTTCGGCGGCAGCGGCGTGGCTAGCTGCTTTGTTTCCTTTCTCCTCCAAATCTCAGCGGTCCCCGTTGTTGATACACTGCAACCGCGTCGCAAGCAGCTGCTGAAAGCATCAGCTTGCTAATTGCACTGATATCCTGCTCTCCGAGTGCCACATCGCAATGCACGTTTCGACTGCTTCCATGCATTCGAGCAACTTTAACAGGGAGCCCCCCCCGTGCCCCCAGCAGGCTGCTGCTGCTCCAGAGCTTTCCGCTGCAAAATGCACCCAGCGAGCTGAGCTGGGCCAGCCGGCGTGCCGGATAAGATTACATTTTCCACGCAGGAAAATAAAAGGTTGTAATAAACCCTTTGAAGGGATAAATCCGGGCGATTATAAACTGCAGGTTTTCGCTGCTTCCATTTTACCTCTTCATTAGCAGGAAGCGAGGGTGGCTGGTAAAGAGCTGGGAATCCCCACTTGGCAAGCAGCCCTGCGATTTGTTCAAAGTGGCCATTTGTTTTCTTGTGGTCTCTGATCTGTGCTGTGCCCCTCTCCTCCGGGAGCTGCAGGAGAGGAGTTTCTAATGGACGGTAATGGAATTAGTAGCTTTTATGGAGGCGGCCGTACGGCAGCACGGCTTTCGCTGGGAAGGAGGGGAGGCACGGCAGATGCCTGAGCAGAAACATGTGGGAGACAAAGCGAAAGTTGAAAGGCAGGTCTGTGAGGAGAGGTAATAACTTTTTATTAGGCTGATAGAGCGGGGAGGAAGACAGACACACTTGTAGGGAAAAAGAAAAAACAAAACCAAAAACCCTTCTGCAGGCTGGAAACAGCAGCAGGATGCCACCGGTCGGCGTCTGGAGGAAACAGCCAACTTCCACCAGACCTCTCCTTCCCCCCAGCCCCAAAATAATTACCTAAGCCTCTTCCCTGGGTGAGCACGGGAGGCTCAGGGCTGCAGATGAGAGCACCTTCTCTTTGGGGTGCCCACCAGGGATGGCACAGCCCTCGCCGAGGGGAAGCGCAGGGCTGGGGGTGGCAGGAGGGCAGCGCACGGGGACCCTTTGTGCCCTGAGGGTCTTGCATCATTTTCCTTTCATTCCTCCCTGCTTTTCCTTCTATCCTTGGGTTTCCACTCCATGTTTCACCCCTCCTGCCCAGCCAGAGCCTGGTTTTCCTTCACAGGCCTCTTCCTCCACCAGCAGAGCTGCCAGAGCAGGAGAGAAGAGCCCAGCGCGCACGGGCTGGGCACCGTCACTGACACAAGGAGGAAAAGCAAAATCATGGACGTTTGGGGGGAAAAATTGCTTTTGCAACGCTGCCTCCTCTGCCACAGCCGGTACCGTGCTCCTCGGCTTGGAAATACTTGGCGCTTTCCCCACCTTATAAATAAGTGATTACTGTAATCAAAATAATTAAGCAACCCAGCCTTTTAAGTGACTAATAGAAGACAATAATTTCTACGTGCCAGGTTTATGGAAGTGATGGAGCCCTTTCAGCAGTTCTCACAGAGCAGGAACTTTTTTTAAAGCAAACAAGCAAACAAAAACCACACCAAAGCATGGAAAATAGGGGAACAAATCCCAGAGGAGCAGCAGGAGATGGTCTCACCCGGGGGCACGCTTGGCACCAACCGCTCCCGTTTTTGTGGCCACTTCTGCCTGCTCAGCTCGATGCTGGCAGCCTGGGGAGCGATGCCTGTCCACAAGCCATAGCTTCACCAACCCACATCCTATTTTTTCCCTGTCTTTCGCCACGCTCAGCCAAATCAACCGCAGCGCTCGTGCACGGCTGGGGAAGGCGGAGGATGGATGCCGTGCCATGTCTCGCCGCCTCCGAAGCCACCAGCAGCATTTCCAGATGTTCTCTGTCCCTCCAAAGACCCCTCACTCGCTCCCTGGGGATTTTGGTGGCCCTGGTGACACAGCAGAGCCTTGCCACAGCTCAGCCCCCATAAACCAAATCAACCAGGGGAGCTCCTGCTGGGACCCTGCTTCTCCAGCACAGGGGCTGGTGCTGTGCCAGTTCGGGCCTCTGGGACCAGGAAAGTGAGGACGTGTTTACCTGCCTCCCAAAAGGAGGCTGGAGACCAATAATCTGCTCGACACCCCCTTTTAATCGCTGTCTCCCTGGGTCAC